TCTTCGAAAAAACTTCATTTTTTGTGTGTGATAATTAGGGTTTATAGTTTTGAACCACTGACAATTTTTAGTCTGCCCTTCCACGAAATGTTTAATTAGAATTTTTTTAAATGTTTATTAATTTCCGAAAATTCCACCTGACAACCGATCCGACAATAGTTTTAAGTTGACTGAATGCAGACAAGTACATTAACTGATGCTCATTAGCTAGTAGATACATTTGTCTTTTAAAATACACCTGGCATATAAGGATCGTAATGGTGCTATGTGGATAAATTTATCGGTTTTCAAGAGCTAAATTGGAAGCGCGTCATCCCTACAATGGCTTCCATTTTTTACGATTGTAAAAATGAACTGGCGTAATGGGGAGATAATTTTGACGAAGTAGAATCCTGACTGCTACCATAACTCAAGGATCTATTCTTCAGGGAAAAAAAATTGAGTATATATCGCTATTAAAATACATTTTTTGATATAAACTCGGATTTTATAACTTCTTTGATATAAATTGATCAACTCAAACAATCAGACACAATCAACATTCAGAGCCTCATATATCTGATTTAAGAATGAGGGTGTACTCGATTCAGAAAAACGTATCCAAAACGTTCAATTTTAATGCCCCCTTTTTTTTTTACAACATTCACCTTTGCGAATAAAAATATATTTTGATCAGAGAGATTAAGAAAATAAAAGCTATTTGTGTGTTTTATAATGTTTATTTATATTTTCCTTATTGTTTTAGGATCAACGTAGAATGGTATTTGTTATATTTTGGTTCCTTCTTCATTCTTCTTCTAGAAATGATGCCGGTATGGACTTCGTTTTGCAAGTCCTTGAAATGCTCTGAAACTTTTCATCGCCTATTGATGTAGATTTGAATGAATTGTTTTCGATGATTACCGCTCCACCAGAACGTTCTATGACAAATTCTAGAAACTTATTATTTTGGGATGATCCCCCATTTCCACACCGCCAGGGGAGAAATGTGTTTGGATCATTAATTCTGCGACGTCGCCAATTTTATAATTCGACAGGGGAAACAACAGAAACATTTTTAGATATTTATCATTCATTTTATCAGAATATGCTTCCTACTACCCGACGTAGACCCTCCCGGATTGATCGCCGAAATCAGTTGTTGATGACATTTATGTGGTTGAAATCATACCCTTTGATGAATCAACTTTCTCTGATCTTTGACTTGAGCATTTCCCAAACATCACGCATTGTTCACGCATCCTGGCAATTACTTGAGGCTCATTTATGCCATACTATAACTTGCCCAAGCAGCGAGGAATGGTTGGGTATGCGGGGCAGATGGAGATATATTCCCGTGGTCGTAGGTTGTATAAATGGCACCTCGCACGAAATATATCGCCCGAACAACGAAATACAACAGATGTATTACAGTGGTAATCGTCGTTTTCATTGCATACATACGCAAGTTGTTATTGACAATGAATTGCGAATACGACATGTAGAGTCTGGACTTTTAGGACATACTAACGATGCTCAATCGTTTGCTCTGATGTAGGAGATTTCCGTAAACGGACAGCTCCCTATTCCGCTACACTGTTTTTTACTTGGCGACTGCATATATCCATCGAGACATCCCTTGATAACACCATTCACTTCATCTCAAATCAATCGACGTCCGTTTGCCCGTAGGCGAAGTTTAAGACATTTTAACCGTGTTGTGAGAAGGTATCGTGTCTATGTAGAGCATGTTATTCGGTTACTCAAACTTTTTAGAGTTGTTGGAACGTTTTACAGACGTCATAGGGATACTTTAAGTAGGGTTGTTTGTTTGTGTGCAGCTCTTGCGGCCCGAAGAACCAATTTGTTCATTTAATCTTATATTGGGTTTATTAGTATTATAGGTATGTGACTTTTTATATACGATTAACTATTCTTATTGTATGTTTTGCATTAAAAAATATCTTCATCGGGACCAACCTGGCTTAATTTATCCTTTCCTCATATACGTGTTATACGATACGTCGATACGGATACGCCAGCAAATACGTGAATAATGCAAATGCTCTATTAATACGTAGTGAAACGTAGTAAAACGTAGTTTATACGTAATGAAACTCATTAAAACTTAGTTGAAAATGCCCCGTGTATTTATCGAAAAACCTAACAATACGTAGAAGAACGTAACAAAACGTGGCATAAACCTAGTAAAATGTACGGACCATTAAAAAATGACAAAAAATTACATGAAACGTAGCATTTCTAAACGTACTAAAACATAGCTGTCGAAACGTGACAGTGTGACATGGGCTTAAACAAACAAAATTTTATATGTTCGAATGTTTGTACAACTCTGATAAATACATTTATATTCTAATTCGTAAACTGAAACGAACATAAAATATTTATCAAATAAACACAAACTCTCACATGGGAGACGCAAATTGCAGAAACAAGTGCAAATTCAAAACACAAAGAACGGGGAAAAAGAATTAAAGTTTTTATGAAATTCCGCTAAATTTTGATTAAAACAGATAACTGGACTTTCGAGTCTTCTTAAAAGTAACCAGCCTTTGCTCTGTCCGATCTCCATCTGCCATGTTTCTTTAAAGTCCTAACAGAAATACCAGCGTTAGCAACTGAAGCAGCACCGACACATCTTCATGAGTGTTATCCAAACTTAGACTTTGTCAAGTCCTAAATATTGTGATTAGTTCTAGTAATAATTCCCTGGCTCTTGCATATGAGATATGACTGGAATCATTTCGAAGTTTATGAATATTTGAATTTCTTATAGAATGTTATTTGACGAAAAATAGATTTATAATTTTTAATATAACTATATTTAAAAAATTAACTGGACATATTATTTTATTACTTTTCGCAAAAATAACACAATATTTTATTGCCTGTATTTGTAAGTCTTGTTTTTCTCTATAAAAATTGACACATGGGTAGGATACAATTGAATATCACATGCCCTGATAGAGATTTCCAACAAAATGACATTACTCGACATAAACAACATATCTGAACGTATCTTGGCCCAATGCATTGAAGCATGACGGATGGGGAGCATAGCCTGCATGAAATGCTTGCTTGTTAAATACACATATTTTGTTGGAACAGATTTTATTTCAAAATATAATCTGAAGTGATATTTTAAATCTTTACACATTTTGTTGTTAAAATTGGATGACTTTATTGACAATAGCATTTTAATGTAATAATTAATCCAGTTGCGTGTAATCAGATGCACTGATCATTACTTGGTCATTTCACTTGACCCATATATTTAGTTCCTTTCAAGGGGTGAATTATAAAAACTACTTAATCAAAATTAAGTCTGAGAAAATAAAATCTGAAGCGATATACTATAATCATTTCATTTGTTTTTAGAAGTTATAAGTTTAAACACGAAGTTTCAAACACGTCCGGATTTAAAAGGTGTACCCAACTTACTTCTTTAACGTACTTTAATAATTCATATCAAGATAATTTTGTCTGAGGCAGAAATTCAGATCATTTATGTATTTACCAGATTGCATTTTTTCATCTTCCGTAGAATTTTATAAAATTTAATTTATGAGAATGAATCTTCAAGATGAAAAAATATAATTACACGTTACCCAAATCAGTTGTTATTTTATTTCTTGTCTTTGGTTAAAATGATGCATGGGAGGAGTCTTACTTAAATGTCGTTGCTCACAAATTGGTTTTTAAGAAATCTGAAAAACGGTTATGTATGGAATATTTCATTGCAGACAGTTTAAGGATCCTTTTAGTTTATGTCCAACCGATGATAGTAGGGGGTATAATATTTTCTGGTCAGAACGTTTGACAGTTCGTTCATCCCTTACCAGATTTAAAACTTTTAAAATTGTTTATCAAATTGGAGTTTTGACACGGAATTAGTGTCTCACTGAACATATAAATGTAATACTGTTAGGGAGCACGCGGTGTCATATATCACATAGTTGAACAATAAACAAATTTGTACAAACTTCGAAATTCATCCTTTCGAAAAATGAAATAAAATAAAAGGGACGAGAGAAAGCTCCGTCATAAAACTTGGAACTTTTTCATTTTTTTTTCCAATTCTTAAATCAGTGTCATCTAAATTCTACGGAAAAAGTTAAAGTTAGTTAGAGAATTAAAATCAAAATAATCAAAACTAGATTTCTTTAGTGGTGTGCTCAATGGAATTTATTACGAATTTTTAAATATTTAGTCCTGTTCAGGAACTATATTTCCGAATTCGGGACCGAGTTTAATGAGAACACATTTCAAGTATGTGCCTTAACAGGAGAAATATAAAGATGCAGATCAATAGACCTCGTTAAGATGTAGATGCGGTATGTCTTCCACATTGGTCGCCAAACACAGAAGAAATGGGGGTGGGAAGGGGGGGGTGGGGGAGGGGATATGTTTTTTTCGTTTTACTGTGTTCAATTGGTTTTGGCACATCTTTCTTTAATTAATTTTCTTCGAATAATATAATATAAAGAAGAAAAAACGCTAAAATATAAACACAATAAGCCGTTCAATTGTGACTTGCCACGGACCCATTTTGAAGTACATCAAACGGAACTTAACATGAGTGAATAAAAGGAGATGTGGGGTGTACGTCAATGAGACAGCATCGCAACGGCAATTAACAGTAACCAAAGGACATACAAAGGAGTCTACTAGTCTATTGTTGAATACTATATGTTGAAGGTGTCAACACAAAATGTCAAACTCTAAATCGTCCCGAATCTGTATAATCATACAAATTGTAAATATATTTCACAAAAAACAATCAAAAAAACTTAAAACTGAATTCCTCAAATAACATGAACTTTAAGGAAAAGCTGGCAAATCAGAAAAGTTTTAAATGTAAAAATACCCACGTTTTACTGCAATTTTAAGTTTTATGTTTTCCTTCTTAAGGCACTCAATTTGATAGTCTTTTAAAGTTGATGGCTTAATATTTTTTCTTTTTAAACCTTCTCTGTTGTTGTTGAAGTGCTTAGACTTACAGTTTTATCCACAACTTTTGGTCTGGAGTCAACAGTCTGAATACATGTACCTGTGTAAAAAATATAAATAAATAATAATCTAACTGCTTTTGTACATTTCATAACATTGAAAGCACATTATTCAATTTGTTGTTTAAGTCTTTTCTGGGGCCAATTTGGGATGTCTTCCAACCCCCATCCCCTAAGCCTACATCTCACAGACCCTAGAGCTTATAGTTTCTTCATTGAAAACAGACCAGACCACAAAAAATTAACATTGACGAATGAACATGAGGTCAAGGTAATATGAACATGATGAAACCTGCCAGACAGACATGTACACCTTACATTAACTGATTAACTGACCAAGGAACCATGAAAATGAGGTCAAGGTCAGATGAACCCTGCCAGACACACATGTACACTGTACAAGTGTTCCATACACCAAATATAATTATTCTACTGCTTATTTTTTAAGTCAGTGACTCATATATTAAATGCACAAGTGTTTAAGGAAACGACCATTTAACTTCAAAAGGGGGGGGGGGGGGGGGGGGGGTTATGGTTTTTTCCTAAAAAACATATTCTGATCTCCAATTTGATAGCAAAAATATTGTGGTCAAGCAGATGAAAAAAAAAATATTCTGAATCCAGTTACACGAGAACAAATTACAAATCAAATACAATAAATGACAGAATAGACAGGAAACTAATAACAAAAGTGTACTTTCTAAAGATACATGCATCTTACTAAATGAAAGTAGATAGTTTCTTGATAAATATAGCTAAATTTTGCAATAACTGACAGTGACACAATGACAGCATATTTTGCATTTTCAGTACAGATGGGTATGTTGTATAATATTTCGGTATATATTTCTTCCGAAGTTCAGTTATAGTACTATTATTACATACATATAAATAATGATATTCATCACCAATACATTCATTACATAAAGTACATATGCGATCGGTTCTAGCGATGTTGTAATTTCTGCCAGTTTCCATAGGAATTTTAAGATTGCATGTTCTCAGTTTTGAAATCCAGATTCTTTTATCCTCTGGAAGACGTAGTAATTTTCAAAACCAAACGAGTTTAAAATAACTTATAATATTTGCCACGAGACGAGTTATCAATATTACTGAACCACTTTTGAAGAAACTGATCTTGAAGAATCTGTTTTATAACAGGTTTGATAGTTAAATAATCAAAGTATTGGTTGAAAAACATATAACCTAATCCTGAATTGTCAAATATAGATTTCACAAGTGACACCCATTTAAATCCACAAATATCATCAGTATGTAATTTAAAAATAAGCTTATACATAAAACTACTAAGTTTATTTTCATTTTTAGCCATTCTACTCCAAAACGATAACATTCTTAATTTTACTTTTATTTCTAGTGGAAACCTTCCTAATTCTCCATATACTATAAAATTTGGAGTACTTGATCTCACATTTAAAATTCTCTTGCAAAATTGTAGATGAACTTTTTCAATTATATCAATGTTTTCAAATCCCCATATTTCTGATCCATATAATAAAATAGGTTCTACAAGATAATCAAACAACTTAAGTTGTAAATCAATGGGTAAATGTAAATTTCTAATCTTTGTATAAACAGCAAAAAGTGCTTTTTGCGACTGTTCCACAAGTTTTTTCTTTGCACAAACAAATGATCCATTATAATTTAGCAAAAGACCAAGGTATGTATAGCTATCTACAATTTCAAGAGATGTACCATTAAGTTTAAAATCAAAATCCATTCTCGTTTTTCTTTTGCTAAAAACCATCACTTTAGTTTCACCAATATTCACACTAAGTTTCCACATTTTACAGTAATTTTCTAAAATTTTGAGAGCATTTTGCATTTCATCATAATTATCAGCAAAAATAACGGTATCATCTGCATACAACAAAACAAAAATTTCTAAAAATTCATGTAATTCATTATAATTAATTTAATCAATTCTAGAGGTAAAACATGAAGTTCTCTGAAGTAATGTTCTAAGTCATTTAAGAATATGGAAAACAAAAAAGGGGAAAGATTTTCACCCTGACGAACTCCAATCATACAAGGGAAGAAATCTGATTTTACCTAAGAGTGTTAAATTTTGAAAGAAATAATTTGATTGGTAGCGTCGAAAAACTAAAAAAAAATGTTCGTGCTTTGAGCGAAACAAAAATTCTGACTCGGACAAAAAACCATAAACCCCCCGTGAAGTTAAATGGTTGCTCCCTAAGATGAAATTTATCCTGAATTGTGCAAACACAGAAGCACATGTAAACAATCCAAATTTACTAACTTGACAATTTCTACCTCCTCTAGTATTTTTGTATGATTTTAAGTGGATTTCAGACTAATAATGACTACATTATTTTACAAATTCAAATGATCTGAAATAAGTCTTTTAAATAAATAAAAAGAAATGTAATCACACTAATGTTTAGAAAAAGCAAAATATTAATAAAAATATTCTATTTTTTAGTGAACAAAGCTCTCATAATAAGCTCAAAATTAAACTCAACATTATTTAGCTCTGTACCAAATATGAAATCATTGACATTCCCAACCCATGTGTACAGAGAAATCTTGGACAAAAATGCCGGAAAGTCAGACAATGTGAATGCAGTATACCACCCATCCAAGTAATTTTACACTACAAACCAAAATTTATGAATTTAGCTAAATTGAGCAATAAATCAGGCAAAAAGGTTACATTTTGTGGTAAAATAGCAACTTTGTTTAAAAAAAGTATTAAAACCAGAACATTTCTTTCATAAATCATTTTTTGTAGTTAGCCCAGGAAACAGCAAACAAACAGTAGCTGTGCGAGATATCTGTACCTGTATAATTTAAATATTGCAGAATAAATGCAATAGTATCATATGTACCATTGATGGTATATCTGGAACAGACCAGTTAATTTCTTTAAAAGTACTAATATAGTTGGTTAGTTCATCTCTCAATTCCTCTGTAATGCCCTTTGTGGAATCTTGATATTCATTCACTCTAAGTATGTTTTCACCAATTTTTGGTAATGACTTGGAATTACATGTATACTTTTCCAGAAATTTCTTTATCTTAAGGTTCATCTCTTTTGCTTGGTCAAGTACCATACATGTTTAATCTTATATCCTAAATTAAATAGAAGGGACTTTACTGTTTTACTTTTGTAAAACTACGTGTCCTGGTGACAGTTTACTTTGACAGATATTTAGAGTGATCCCTACTTCTATATAAAGTAACCATGATGGAAACAGTGGCTGTCATGGATGGAAGGTGGTACTGTCTAAAATATTTTTGACAGGGATCCAATAAATACACAAAACAAGAGCTGTCAGAATAGACAGTAAACCAGATTGTTCTTTTACATTAATTTTATTAGTGTCATGCCATTTTTAATCTTTCAACATCCTTAACTTCTGAATGATGAAATTGAAAATCATCAACATCCTTTGGATATAGGCAAAAACCTGTAACATATGTTATCCTACTAATTAAAATGGACCAATAGCAAAGTGTGGGAAAAAATATTTAGAATTAAACATGTACAAAATGTACATTAAAACCCCAAAGGCTGTTTCTAAAGTCTAATGGTTAAATTGTGTATTATGGAAGAAATAAACATGAAATATTCAAAAGAGGGAACCTCAATAAGAACTTGTCTTATTTGCAGTGCAAAAACAAACAACAACGATAAGGCAAACATTCAATTTCGCTTGCCATCGTGACTGCATTGTACATTGAAATCTTAGTTTCTTATTGTTTTTGTTCCTTACTTATGTCAAAGGCACTTCAAACATATATGTTCCTTACTTATGTCAAAGGCACTTCAAACATATATGTAGTCTAAGCCAATTCAATGATGCCTATCAATTGTATATCACTAAAAAGGATGAAAAAAATATGTACATATAAAAGATATTGCCTAGAAAAGTCGTTTGTATTTTGACTCATATAATAGCATTTTTAAATGTCATACCTATTAAACAAAACCACTCGCTACAATTCCTAATCGAGCACACCTTCTTGAAAATACAATCTATAATATAGGGAATTTCTTCTATAAATTCAATTAAATGCTTGAAAGCGATTTATTAAAGTTTCTTCTTCATTGTGAATTATTTTTTTATTCATAGTTATTTAGTGTCAGTTATTTTGAAAAAGGGGGGTCGTCTAATTTGACAGCGAGCTATTATGACACTGTAAAACTCGAAGAAGTGCTGCGCAAGGACTGCATCTTTCAATACGAGTTTAGTGAATGGTTTAGCTGAACACATTCTTTCTTCTTTAAGAATCCTTTCTGACGTTTCTGTAAATGAACACATTTATGGAACATTCATTTGCAAAGTATCAGTGATAAATGTCGCAAAAAAGACAATGAATTATAACTCAAATCAATCGTTTGATAGGTAAGGGATACGTGTATGACAATGTAAATTTGAGCGGGAATCATAAGAATCACGTGATGATAAAAAAATACACGATTTATCTCATTTTTCATCACCTAAAAATTATAAGATACTGACGAAAATTGAAGTTTATGGTTTTTATAGTCGTGGAATACTTTGTTTAAACTTGAGCGACGTATTTAACAAAATTCTAGGTTGACAATAACCGGTCACATTAGGTCCGTACGTCGAATTGCGTACGTATGTCATTTTATTGGAAATCTCTATTAAGAACTATTTTTGAAAACCTGAATATATACTATCGGGCACATAGTAACAATTCGTTTATCAAACAAATTATTAGTAGAAGAACAAACAACAGCCCCCTAAACACTACACTGAACAACAAGTTTGAGCAACAACTATAGTCAACAATATCTGATGATAGAATGATATATAAAATTTGAATAAAAGAAATACTGTCAATAGTGTGTAATAAATATATACAACTTTTCTACATGTTCACTTTAAACTAATGAAATTCATGCATAAAAGTCTATAGTAGGCAAGAAGACTGTCTTGAAATAAAATACCTGAATTTACTTAATTTATTTCTTTATATTTCCGGCTCTGTGTATTGTCCTGTTGTCTCATATGAGAACCATGTTCGTCATTTGAATCCATCAAATGATCGTTTATGGCAAATACCGTTGGATACTACGGTTTTTCTACGGACTTTGATGTTTAGTTTTATAATATGTCCATTGTGATTGAAAAATAAACTTGGCACATTTATGTTATAACTCAATAAGAGGTGTAATTTGTCTCTTACATATACATATCAATCAATACGAGCAACTGCAGCAACATTATTGTCAAAATACATGTATGGATCTGCCCCAATTATAGCCGTTAAGGGACATAAGTCTGTACAGTCACTGACAACATACCAGCGTGTTGATAGAGATGAGAAAATTAAAATGATCGTAATGTGTACATGTCTGTCTGGAAGGTCGCCTATATTTGGTGTATAGAATGATTGTATCAAAGGTGCTACACAGTACATGTCTGTCTGGATTGGTTTATCTGACGGTGGCCATGCCCCATTTTCATGGATCGTTCATATTGATTCTTGTAGTAACACTTTATCTTTAGGACTATCAACATAATGATACCCAATTCTTCTTGAGCAGGGAAACAAATATCGATTACACAGATACTCGTCTCTGAGAAAGAAAAAAAAACCTACATACCGAGGCTTACTTTAACCTGAGAGACCGTGATATATGTATACATATATATGTATATGTATGTCTCTGCAATAACACATCATCCGAGTACGTATAGTTACAGGATCTTACAGAGACAAGTGCTTGTGGTCGATCAGATGAGAAGACAAGAATTGGACGTCGATTTGAGAGAGCGAAAAAGGACTTCAAACAAAGAATTCTATGAAGACGTTAGATTGTACGTCGATTTGATAAGTACCTAACGTGAGGGTACCCAAATTGCAATTATGTTGACAGTTTTTTCGCCTAGCTACGTTTATTCATGTTTCACAAAAGTTTCCATTTTGTGTTTATTTTGTAGATGTATCCTTATTTACTATATAGTTCCACCAATTTAATTTTGAATCCATATTGAATCATAGAAAGATGGGTTTGAACCGACCTCCAAACGATCCCTGGTTCTGTAATGAGGAGTACCCAAATTGCATCTATGCTTAAATTCACGTCCTCAAATTTGGAAGAACAGATGTTTTTCATTTTTATTTTTTCAAACATTTAGAACAATTTGACATTTGTCCATGCGTACTATTCATTTTTTAAGAAATGGATGCTCGTAACATATTTTATTTGCTCATTTTTAAAAGAAGACTTTTTGTGGACGTCGCATGGCGACGTTTCCGTAGATTTTACTTTTTCCAGTGATTACTTTATCTGTTTAAATATACTGTGAATGTTTTGTGAATATTCAAATATAGACGTGCATAATGTCAAATGATAAAATAAAAAATACAAAAAGTTTAGTCTCTAGGAAAACTTGTAAAATTTTCGCTGCTATTTTGCTAAAAAGGTGCAATTTGGGTACTGTGACGTTACATAGCATGTATTTCCACGTGTAAAGAACATTGAAGGTACCGACATATATATGCATAATTAACATTTAATAATTTATCATCAAATCACCAAAACAAAATTCATATAAAAATTCCCGAATTATTATTCCTGAAAATATAGATATTTTTTTATATACATACCCTAGACAATCTAATAATTCAGAATCAACCTATTTCAATAAAAAATAGGGTGCGAACGGACCCAGGGAGCGAACGTGTGGGGTGCGAACGTGCAGTGTGCGAACGTGTTTTGGGAGCGAACGCACCCGATACCATATAATGCAGAGCATCGGGAAAAAATCTGCTACAATCGGATATTCAGGTCTAATCCGTATCAACTCAAATTCTTAATATATCAAAACAGAGTTATTTCCCGTTGTTTACAAAACAGCAGGTTTCTGACTTGCTTGTTGTTTTGCCTGATAATCTCTCGCTGCTTCAGAAGAAAACATGGATGGCCCAAGTCCAAAAAAGAAAGCCAAAACAACTGATTTACCAGTCTGTCCGTATGGGTCAGGATGTTATCGAAAAAATCCACAGCACTTCAAAGAATTTTCTCATGCAGACGATGATAGTAAACCAGCCTCATCAAAACCAAAAGATTCTTCGCCATTAGTTGACAGTACTTCACTCCCAATTTGCAAATATGGAGCCAATTGTTACAGGAAAAATCTTTTACATTTTGCTGAGTACTCTCACCCAACAGCAGTGACATCTACAGACAGTGGAAGTGACACTGATCCAGTGTCAGATGATGATGATACTGATGATAAAAAGGTGGAATTGCCATTAAAATATATTCTCGTCTCATGGGTTTTCTTGTGTTACAAGGCAGCGCGTATACCGACTGAGCTAAAGAAGTACTTCCTTAGCTCAACCGCTTACGGCTGACTAAGTATCTACTAATGAAGGGAAGCAATCCCGTCACACTATTAAGAATGCATTGTGACGTCACAATTTCCATTGAAAAAGCATGCATAGTACGAATTGGATAATTGAGTGAAATAGTTTTGAAAGTTTTTTCAATTGCATATCATGCTAATTCCAATTCACCCCTCAACCAAATATCAAATTGGGTTTTTCACCACCAAGCTCCAGAATGTATTGGGTTTTTTTTATCATCAAAGTATTGAATTGAGGCATGGCATGATATAATGTAAATTAATTATATCAAACAAAAATGTTCATCCACTGTTATCTTAAATATGTTTCTTTCAGCATGTTCAAGTATATGTTATAGCAGTGGTTTATTTGGTTTATACAGTAACAAGCAATTTTTTGTTTGATATGTGTCTGATTTGTTTCAACCTTGGATTGATACATTGAATTTATCCTTATGCTTACCAGGGATACAGCTTTGAGCTTGGGACAAATTTAAATCCACCAGGACCCAGATCAGCTATTTAATATAATATGCTATACTGTAGATTAATACGACAACAATTTATCGATTAGGAACATTGTGTTAGGCTAATCAATAAATTGTTGTCATGTAAGTCTACAGAAAGGGTTCTGGGTGGAATGGTTTTTAAGGGTAAATAACGCACACGACAGTGACCATGGTGACTAGAAGGGTTGAAAGCCCATAGTTTTTGTCATATATTTGGTTTTTCTTTGCATGGATTGGGCTTTTGAGTGCTGCAATCATCAATTGAATAGGGGTTTCAATTGCTTTTATTGCGGAAAATTTAATAATAGAAAAAGGTTTCTGCTGGATCACATTCACTTACAAATATGTACTACATATATATCACAGGTTCAAGACGAGACACACTGTAATCAGCATATATACATATATCAAACAAATTCAGTTTTGTACCTGTATACAATTACAAGTGTCTGGTAAATCCACTAATCTAAGGCTTTTTCATGTTTTTATAAACAATTCACAGTGCTGCTCTCAAAAGGTTTTAAGAATAATTGTACGGTGTGTTTTATTGAAGGCTCGAAATGCTCAAGTCACGAAAAAACTATTTTAATGAAACACAAACTTAAAACCATCCGTTATCCCTTATAACAATGCAAGTTGGCTAAACATGTTTTTATTGGCTATTGCTACAACCATGTAATAACGCCTGTAGTGGATATTGCTTTTATACAACAGTATATTTTGTTGTAATTCAACAATAAACTTTTAAGATTCAACTGAAAATGGTTTCCCAAGTAAAATCAGGCAATCTAGGAAAATTCTATTCATAATAAATTCAAATGGTTTGTCATTCCAATAGGTTATACAAATCTCAATTCTTTTTGTAATAAAAGTATAAATAGGGACGATAGGGTAAACATCAATATTTGAACAGCCAGATATCCATATTTGTCGATCAGTAGTTAACTTTGAAGGAATATTTAGGAAGTGCATATAAGGATCCATATGAAAATGAAATGTTGATGTCCATCCTTTAGTCTATCTGTCCGTCCAACTTTATAAGTGCTTTCCCTCCAGTACTTCAGACTTTAATAAAATAGTATTTATGTCAAAGATTAACATCAGTAATATCTCTAATGGTTTAGAAATAGGGCTGATCAATAATATATATTATATACATTGAACACAATGCATTTTTGTCTCGCCTTGACAAACAGGCACTTGTCTCAGAAAAATAATTTCCTATATACCTTAATATAACAAGTGCCTGTGCCTTGACAGAGTCAAAAAGTGAGACATAGGCATGCTGTTTCCGGCGGCAGCGGCGTCTACAATGTATTAGTTTGTGATTAGGTCTAGTTTATGGTGAACCATTGGTGGTAGGTCAATGATATTTGGTATGCAGATGTATAAGCATTGGCACATCTCATTTCCATGTAGATTATTTGGACCTGCAACCTCAGTCATGGTCTATTGACTTTGAAACTTTTGCTTAGTTTACATGTATTAGTTTGTGATTAGGTCAGTTTATGCGGAACCACTAGTGGTAGGTCAATGATATTTGGTATGCAGTTGTATAAGCATCGGCATATCTCATTTCCATGGAGATTATTTGGCTCCGCCCCCTCAGGCAAGGTCTATTGACTTTGAAACTTTTGCTTAGTTTACATGTATTAGTTTGAGATTAGGTCAGTTCTAGGGGAACCATTAGTGGTAGGCCAATGTTAATTGGTATGCAGTTGTATAAGCATTCACACATTTCATTTCCAATGAGAATATTTGGCTTCGCCCCCTCAGTCAAGGTCTATTGACTTTGAACTTTTGCTTAGTTTACATGTATTAGTTTGTGATTAGATCAGTTTAAGATGAACCGCTACTGTTAAGTCAATGATATTTGGTATGCAAATTTATTGGCGCAAACTTTTCATTTCTGTAAGGGTAAATAGGGTAAACATCAATATTTGAACTGCCAGATATCCATATTTGTCAGAAGTTAACTTTTAAAGGAATATTTAGGAGATGCATATATTTAGGATTCATATGAAAATGAAATGTTGATGTCCATCCTTTAGTTCATCTGTCTGTCCAACATTATAAGTGCTCTCCCTCCAGTACTTCAGACTTCAATTAAATACATGTATTTATGTCAAAGGTTAACATCAGCAATATCTCTAATGGTTTAAGGGGCCTCGGTGGCTGAGTGGTCTAAGTAGTTACTACTCCGGGCACTCCGGCTTCCTCCACCAATAAAAAACTGGCCGCCACGAAATAGCCCAAAAGCGGTGCTTAAAAATGGTGTTAAAACACCAAAAATCAAAATCTAATGGTTTAAAAACAGGGCTGATCAATAATATTGTTGGGGTTACAAGAGATGATGGACAGGGGTAATGGAACATGGGAAATAGGGGCAGGAGTCGGGGGAGGGAAGCAGAAACTGAGGGAACAAGGTGGGCAAAAATAAGGCTATTCTGTGAAAATAAAATTTGAATGATTTTTGTCTGGGAGTAAGGGGGAGGGAATTGGGAGTAGGGGGAATTAGGGTAGAGGGGGAGGGAAGTTGGAATCAAACCCCCCCCACAAGTCCACCCCCTCTTACAAATGTATGCCCTTTGGAAAGTAGCTGAATATTATTGGAAATTGACATTGTTTACAAATACATTCATATGTGCCCTCACACTTACAGTTTTAATCAGATTGCAATAAGATTTAAGTCAAAATTAAACATCAGAAGTATTTTAGATACATGTTGTAAGTTAAAAAATTACAGTTGATCACACTTTTTGGGGGGAAATTATGCCCCTTGAAAATGTAAATAATATGGAAATTGACATTGTAAGTGCCCTAATAGTACAATACTTCAAATTATAATGATATTTTGGACCAAAAAATAAATTGGAATTTCTCCCTGATATTGTTTCGAAAGATGTAAAATGCTATTGGAATCCAGGTCATTTCTTATCAAATTTAACTTAATACATTTCATGTATACACACTGAAACTTGTCCCCTGGGCCAGGCTTAAAGGGGAGATTTTTAGGCAGTTAAGCTGCCTTATGCTACCACCCTAGATTTGTGTTCTTCCAACTAAATGGTGTAAAAAGTGCTATTGTTATTATCTAGCTGGCTAATATGTTATTAATAACTAATTGGGCACTTTTTTCATACTTTCAATTCTGGAATACAAAAAATATGACCAGAAAAACCTTAAATGATCGTCGAACTACCCAAAACTTTTGAAGTTGCACATAGGAAGTAGTGCTCAATAGAAATCTGTACGTAGTTTATCATCCCATGTGCTTTTGGCTAAGATGTCAAAGAACAATTGTATGAAATATTTCATTGCCGAAAATCTCTAATTACAAGTCGTTTACATTTCCCAAATGGCCAAAGGCGCAGGAAAATTGTTCATGTACACCAAATCTCTATGATAGAGGAAATAAAGTTATATGTAGTAGTCTAAGTTGGCGGTAATTTTAACTTACACAAAACATTAGGTAATTATATATATAAATATTCTGATGTTTTAAAGAAAGTTTTGTTAATAATGATGTTCTTTTCGTTTAAGAAGATTGTGATTATTTTATTTATTTCAATTAAATGTATGCACATTTAAATTCCTTTCTTTTATTATATTATCCCGTTTATCACTGACCTTGGCAGTTGTTGTTGTTTTTATGAATGTTGTCTTTATGAATGAAAAAGATCCGAAAATCGACGTTGATGGGATATTTTAAGAAATGTGGACAACACGTCCCCGAGACAAGTCGGACGGAGTCCACTCTGACCGTCTTAGAAGACAACTCGGACCGCTTGTCAGATTTACTTAGGGTTCTATAAAATGTTAGACTAACATGTCTAGCGGAGTTATCAATTTTTCGTTTGTGCATTGGGGTCTATTTAGGGGTATTTTGAAGGGCCTAAATAAGGAAAGGGTTTACTATAGAACCCTAAAAAGTCCCTATGGGATTTTATTTTTTTCAATTTTTAAATGACTATTACTTGAAAACAGTAAGTGATGAGACACATGATCTTCAGTAATGATAACAGGACAATAGAGCAAATCAAATGAAATATAGGATGAGTCCCTGGGGGTCATCCCACCCCTTCAATTTGAAAATGTGTTTTTATCTTGTAAACGGTAGCAATCCCCACCCCTAAACCATATATATACTTGTATGGAACAATAAAACAAATCAAATGAAAATAATTTGGGGGAGTCCCAGGTGTCACCCCCACCCCTTCTGTTTGAGAACTTGTAAATGGTGGAGATCCCCACTCCTAAACCATATATATTCATTTATGGGACAATATAACAAATCAAATGAAATATAAGGGGAGTCCCTGGGGGTCATCCCCTTCTGTAAAGAACTGTTAACGGTTGAGATCCCCATCCCTAAACCATACATAGTTTTGTATGGTACAATAAAACAAATAAAATGAAATATAGGAGGAGTCCACAGGGGGTCAACCCCACCACCTCCTGTTTTAAAACTTGTTAATGGTCTAGATCCCCACCCTTAACCATACATATTCTTGTATGGTACAATAAAACAAATGAAATAAAATATAGGGGGAGTCCACGGGGGTCAACCCCACCCCCTCCTGTTTGAGAACTTGTTAACGGTTGAAATCCCCACCCCTAAACCATACATATTCTTGTATGGAACAATAAAACAAATCAAATTAAATATAGGGGAGCCCCTGGGGGTCACCCCATCCCTCCTGTTTGAGAACTTGTAAACTGTTGAGATCCCCACCCCTACACCATATATATTCTTGTATGGGACAATAAAACAAATAAAATAAAATATAGGGGATTTGTCCATGGGGGTCTTCCCCATCCCTCTTCTTTTTGAAATTTTGCAAACGGTCGAGATCCCCACCCTGAAACCATATATATTCTTGTATGGGACATTAAAACAAATCAAATGAAATAAAGGGAGAGTCCCCTGGGGATCAATCCCCACCTTTTGAGAACTTGAAAACGGTCGAGATCCTCACCCCTAAACCATATATATTCCTGTTCGTCAACTCAAGAGTGTTTGAATGACATACAGGGTCAATCTCCTAGGCGTCACATATGCATATCACTTTACTTGACCAAACCAATTTGTACTGTACTTTGCCCAATGTCAGGCGACCAAGGGAATGACTAATTATAGGAGCTTTGTTTGGGAGACTTCGTTACAGTATCCTGTTACAATTATTTCTTGTTTATTATAGAATTTAATTGATGCAAGAAATAAGTCTAGGTTAAATTTACTTTAATTATTTTTTGAGTTATTTCTGGGCCTATAAGAATTTTCATTTAAGGCTTATTTTAAAGGAAACATATTTAAGATAAATTAGAAATAACTTTTGAAAATGGAAGGATTGGATAGCAGAAACATTAAGGTACAAACATTTTTTTAAATTTAAAATGGCTGAGATAAAAATTAAACCAATTCTTCCACAATATTCATCTTAACTTAAGCTTCTGCCACGTTTGCCTTGGGGTTTTTTAATTAACTGCCTATAGCGCCCTTGGTGCTTTGATTGTTCAATAAGTAATTTACTGTTACTTTCTCTCATTTGTTAAGGCAATGACTGTCTTTATTGATGTGGCATAGATCATAAATGCTGTATTTATGACTGACCAGGATCAAACTCAAAGCTGATACTGCTGCTCTATGTAAATTATCCTTTGTTTTCTAGTTAGATAAATATAGAAAAAAACATTAAAACAGTAGTGGTTGTATTCCATAGTAGTTACAAAGTAATATCACAAAATTCATATTTTCATGCCAGTACCGTTCAATTGAACTTAAAAGATTTCATGAATATGACATTTTTGCTCAGTTTTCTTTTTTATCTATTGTCAATTTTGGTATGTAATTGTGGAAAATCAATTTTTTGCAATTCCTCTAATCTATGATATAGTAAGGTAGAATTTTTACACATGCAGGGTTAGGAATGAAATAAATATTAAATTTCATAGTTTCGAATTTAAGATGATGTGAGATGTTCCCACATGTGTTTGTTGTAAATTTTATAGTATTATGATATACCGTTGTCCGTCTGTCTGTCCGTCCTCCCGTCTGTCCGTCTGTCGTCAACATGTCGGACAATAACTCAAAAACCCTTTAACCAATCTGCATGAAACTTTGGTGAATTGTTTATATGTATTGACGTGAGCTCCCTTTCATTTTTTATAAATTTTAGATTTTAAGTTTCCGAGTTGTGGGGTTTTATTCATTAAAAAAGGGGGATTTTCCAGTTTTCGGATAATAACTCAAAAACACTTTCACCAATTTGCAAGAAACTTTGGTGAATTGTTTACGGGTATATCTATTGACATGAGCTCCCTTTCGATTTTTATTAATTTTAGATTTTATGTTTCTGAGTTATTGGGTTTTATTCATTAAAAAAAGGTTTTTTTTCCAGTTTTTCGTACAACTCAAAAATGCTTTCAGCAGTTTTCATGAAAGTTTGGTGGATTGTTCATATCTATTGACATAAGCTCCCTTTCGATTTTTATGAATTTTAGAATTTACGTTTCCGATTTTATTCATAAAAAGGGGGTGATTTTCCAGTTTTCGGACAATATCTTTAAAGTGCTTGGAGCAGTTTTCATGAAACTTTGTTGACTGATAAATTTCTGAAATGACATTGAGAAGTTATTGAACTTTATTCTTTAAAAAAGCAACTGCCGTATCATGCGCTCATGGCGCAGCTGTTTATTTTTTATGTTGTGTTATTGTATTATTGAGGAAAGACACCCTCCCTATTGACAATATAATGGTATATATAGAATACCTGCCCATGTTTTTCTGAATGGGGTTCAGAATAGTTCATACTGCATTTTCTCAAATAGTTGCAAATAGTAAAATTGTAAAATATAGAAGGAATTTTAATATAGGACAATCAGAACCTTTGGACTAATATACCTTTGCACTAATAGTCATTTGGACCAATAGACCTTTGTACTAATAGACATTTGGACCAATAGGCCTTTGCACTAATAGACATTTGGACCAATATTTATTGATTTTATTCTTTTTAGAAATCACCAAAGAAAAAAGTGAAGGATATTGACATTTTAAAGAGAGGGGTTTCCCTAGTGAAAAACTATTCACAGATGTCAGAAGAAGAAAGAAAAGAACTGATTAAGAAGGCCATGGCTGCTAAGAAACAGCTAGAGGAAGAATTACAAGCAACAAAGAATGAAGTAAAGAAGAAAGATGAAGAATTAAATAGGTTACAGAAAGAGGTATTTAGTGAAAATTTTACATGAACCTACCACTTTCACTGAAGAATGAGCTTGAAACTGGTTTGATATAAAAAAATAAAAATTACAAGTATTAATACTTTGTATTGAAAAATTTTCAGCCACAAAAAGGTCAAAGAGACAAATTATAATATTTCAAATGATTCTGTCGAAAATCATTTGTGAAATTTTATTAGATAAATTTATTATGAGACAGCTAGTGTTTTTTACCCTGAAGATATACTGGTATGTTTCTCTGTACTTTTCGAGAAATAAGGGCGATGATAAGCTGCTAACAGTTTACATTAATTGTCAATTCCAGTGTCACAAATATCAATATGTAGTTAGTATATACTATTCTATGAAATATGGGAGATAATTAGCTGCTTCTAGTTTCCTTCATGAACATGATGAAATTAATAGATAGTTGACATTTCATTGATTACAAAAATGTATATATTAATAGTACTTTATATGAATGAAGGTAGATAATTATCAATTACCAGGTTACACAAAGTCACTTCTGGTGTCATACAATAGCTTACTAAACACTGAATACTAAAACAAATAGTTTATTTTTTATTTGTCTTAAGTCAATTTTAGTTTACAAACATTAGCTCACTTTGTTCTGATTTATACAAATAAATATGGTTGCTAGGTACTTTTTGTGAAATAAGGGAGCTAGTAAGATACTTCCAGTTTACACCTAGTCATTTTCTAGCTAATATAACACTGATTCTCATTGCTATGCACATTTTTTTGAAATAAGTGTAAAAAAAAAAATATTGCCAGTCAGCACCAGGTCACTCCTAGTTGACTTTTTTCAAGGCTTCATTGACTCAGATCATTATACAAAAACAGAATGACTTTGTCATGTACCAATTTGGAGTTATAATCAGTGAACTTTAAAAAATTAAAATGTTTAATGGACAATTTATCTCTTATAACACCATAGGTCTATATTGTTAATGAAATCTACCACTTAGCTTAATGGTTTTGGGGAGATAACTCAAAACACTTGATCACTTTAATCATAATTGATTATGGATATAACTAACAATTTAAAGAAAAAAAAATTGGTAAAAAAGGAGATACAATCACAAGAAAAATAGTGTTTGAGTAGATAACCTTTCCAAGGTAAGTGTTCAGTCCAAGTGTTTGAACATCAAGTTGCATTAAATGGTGCATGCAGTATTATCGGTTATACCTACAGTTACTGACAAAGGGAGATAATTCATTTCAAAATATTGTAAATATGTTTCTTTGCTTAATACAATGCAATGTTTCTTTATAAGTACTCAATGAAAAATGAAAGCAATATTTAACTCTGCAGTGCTCATGAGACTTTGATGATAAAAAACACAATTGGCAGACTGACAATTACTGTAAAAGTAGCACTAAAAAAAATTAACACTATATTTAGTGTATCAAAAACCTATGCACTTAGATCCCAATTAATATAATAATTTGTGCTAACTGACTTTTGTAAAATTAATGACCTCTGTTACAGAGGCAATAAAAAGCACAGGAAACATAAGACTTTTGAGATAGGCATTTAAATAGGAGTGCTACTGAAATGTCATACCATTGTCATTTTAGTCTGCACAAATATGTTTATACTTAATGTAAATTCAGAAATTATTGTGAGGTTTTATTCATGCAAATAATGAGACTGGGTAGGTATCACAAGAATAATAAGAACTCGTATTCTGATACAAATATATATGTATGCCACTTTTCCTGAAGACACAATAATTAATCTCAAATGTTTGTTGATCATGCCTAAATAGCACTAATAGATGCTTGCAATGATTTATGAATTTACGATCGTGCAGTATAGAAAATTCTGTATAAGGTAAAATGATATGTTATCAGTTTAAGTCCCTAATTTATATTATTATATATCTAATAGGTTGCAGCTGGTGCTTTATTGATGGAGGGAGAAAAAGAAGCAATGGAAGGAAACAAAGTTGTGTACTTTGATTTGTTTCCTGAGAGATCATATAAAGAAGGATCAGCTGCACAAACCCACTTCAGACTTGCAGAGTCACAGTTTTATAGGCTGATCAGTGGCAGTGGAAATAAGTAATGCCTCAAATATGTTCCAGAAAATGATTAATATGAGGCAACATCTCACAGGAAACTTAATTCTGTCTTTTTTCTGCCCCCGCTGTAGCGGTGGAGGCATTAAGTTTTACCCTTGTCCGTCTGTTCGTACGTACATCTGTCCGTACGTACATCTGTCCGTACGTCCCAAAATTGGTTTCCGTTCTCTAACTTGAGTTTGCCTCAACCAAATGTTATGAAACTTATACACAATGCTTATTACCACAAAACACAGATCAAGTTTGAATTTTGGTGGCGTCACTCTAACCGTTCTAGAGTTATGCCCCTTTATAAATGGAAAAATTGCAAAATTTTTAGTTTGTTTCCGTTCCCTAATTTAAGTTTGCCTCAACCAAATGTAATGAAACTTATACACAATGCTTATTACCACAAAATACAGATCAAGTATGAATTTTGGTTGCTTCACTTTAACCGTTCTAGAGTTATGCCCCTTTATAAATGGAAAAATTGCAAAATTTTTAGTTTCCGTTCTCTAACTTAAGTTTGCCTCAACTAAATGTTATGAAACATATACACAATGCTTATTACCATAAAACACAGATCAAGTTTGAATTTTGGTGGCGTCACTCTAACCGTTCTAGAGTTATGCCCCTTTATAAATGGAAAAATTGCAAAATTTTTAGTTTCCGTTCTCTAACTTAAGTTTGCCTCAACCAAATGTTGTGAAACTTATACACAATGCTTATTTCCACAAAACACAGATCAAGTTTGAATTTTGGTGGTGTCACTTTAACCGTTCTAGAGTTATGCCCCTTTATAAATGGAAAAATTGCAAAATTTTTAGTTTCCGTTCTCTAACTTAAGTTTGCCTCAACCAAATGTTATGAAACTTATACACAATGCTTATTACTACAAAACACAGATCAAGTTTGAATTTTAGTGGCGACACTTCATCTGTTCAAGAGTTATTCCCCTTTATAAATGGAAAAATTGCAAAATTTTTATTTTCTTCTCAATATCAACTAATTTTTTAAATTGGAGTTATCTTCCTTTGTCCATGATGATAGTTGAATCAACTACAATCAATGCTTTATACAATGCAATGTTTAGTTTTGACTTCCACTGATAAAACACAGGTCAAGTTGAATTAGGGTAGTGTCACTTTAATCATTATTGAGTTATGCCCCTGTATAAATCGAAAGATTGCAAAATTTTTAGTTTCCGTTCTGTAACTTAAGTTTGCCCCAACCAAACATTATGAAACCTATACACAAAATTCATTACCACAAAACTAAAATCAAGTACAAAGTTTTTGTTTCCGTTTTCTAACTTTAGTTTGCCTCAACCAAATGTTATGAAACTTATACACAATGCTTATTACTACATAATACAGATTAAGTACAAAATCTGGTGGCTACACTTTTACCATTCTTGATTAAATTGCTGAATTTTTCGTTTCCGTTCTCTAACTTAAGTTTGTCTCAACCAAATGTTATAAAACTTATTCACAACCGCTCTAGAGTTATGCGTGTTTACAAATAGAAAAGTTGCTGAATTTTTAGTTTCTGTTCTCTTCTTAAGTTAGCCTCAACTAAATGTTATGAGACTTACACACAAAGCTTATTACCACAAAACTCAGATCAAGTTCAAATTTGGGTAGCGTCACTTTTACCGTTCTTCAGTTATGTCCCTTTATAACTATATGATATGCAAGGGGGGGCATCATCTGTGTCCACATGTGGACACTATCCACATTTTTTGTTTTTATACGACCGCAAAAAATTTTGCGGTTGTATATTGGTATCACATCATCGTTGTCAGCGTCAGCATCGTCTGAAGACATTTGGTTTCCGGACAATAACTTTAATATAAGTAAATAGAAATCTATGAAATTTAAACACAAGGTTTAAAACCACAAAAGGAAGGTTGGGATTGATTTTTGGGGTTATGGTCCCAACAGTTTAGGAATTAGGGACCAAAAAGGGGCCCAAATAAGCATTTTTCTAGTTTCCAGACAATAACTTGTGGAACAATGTATGGACCTCTCTGAAATTATACCACAAGTTTCCATACCACAAAGGAATGGTTATGATTGGCTTTGGGAGTTATAGATCAAACCATTTAGGAATTAGGGGCAAAAAAAGGGGAAAAACAAGGGTTTCTTGGTTAATGGACAATTACTTAAGTATTGGTCTTTGGATCTCTATGAAATAGATATTGGACCATTAAGCATTATATAAGGGATAGCATTGATTGATTCATGATGTTTTACAGTATATAGAAGAGAACAATATTTTGGGATTTTGATTTTGAGAAAGCTTTGATTCTTTATGTTGGGAATTTTTGCTATAAGTATTACAATTTTTCATGCTATTAGTATTACAATTTTTTTCATATGCTGAATCTAACTGTGTATTTGGTTGTTGGGCCCATTTTCTAATTGGTCCAAATTTTGGTCCTAAGGCTTTAAAATTTGTTTTGTTTGATTTAATAAACATTAAATAAAATTTAAAAGATAATAATTACAATGTTATATTTGAATTACCTCCCTTACATTGCTTTTAAATTATGTAAAGTTGTCAATTAGTTCTAGTATGAACTATTTTTTAGCTGTTTCTAGAAACATTAAATACTGAGATGGAAGTATATATAATATAATAATACTGTATATCAAAGGGTTCAGTGGTAATAAATTTTCATATTCAGAATTGTTTATTTGTGATCAATATCATTTGTTTGGGGTTTTATAGCATTAAGAGTTACCTCCCTTACAATGGTTTTGTTATAAAGAAATGTTGTATTGTCTTGAGGTGATTAGCTGTCAATTTATTTTTGGAAGTTACTATTAAATGCTGATGAAGGTATATTAATTTTAGCCATGATTATGTATGTCATTTTCTATTTCAATACTTTTATGATGTATTTAAATGGGTTTTTATGGTTGCAAACTCCATTGGAAATTTGAATTGAGATTATGACCATATCTTGAGGGAAAGAATTTTTTTTGGAAAAAGGGGGAAGGAGGTTAAAAAAAATTAAATTTGGGGGGGGGGATTGTCAATTTTCCAAAGAAAAATTGTGTCACAATTGCTAATTCTTTGTATATCGTCTGAAAACAGATTAACAAAGTATTGCACAACAGCACAGTGTATTGCACAAAAGCAAGAAATTGAATATAAATTCAAATCATAAAACCAATTCTAAGTTTTTTTACTACAGTTATTCTGTGTCAGAAACCTATTATGTGTCAAATATTTAATTACAATCCAAATTCAGATCTGTATCAAGCACGAAGATTGTGTCAATTTTTGCCCCAACTGTTCAGGGTTGGACCTCTGCGGTCTTATCCAGCTGTGCTTTGAAAAGCAATTTATTTTAATTGAAAGCAATTATAAAGTATACTAAAAGAACTAGCCAAGGAATTTGTTTTTGTCCCGGCCGATAAAGCTGCTAATAATATTATTGTTTGACGTAAATTTTACATTGAGGTTCTGAAAAAAGAAATCACCAATTCACCAACATTCCAACTGACTTCATTTTCAGAAAACGACATCTGTAACAAACATAAACTTTTAGCTACCGCTTTACAAGCAGAACCAAATACAATGAAAGTCCCAACTATGTATTGGCTTCCGAAGCTACACAAAACACCTTACAAATATAGATTCATTTCGTCTTCAAGCCATTGTTCCACTACTAAATTGTCTATTCTTCTTACCAGTACACTTGGTACAATCAAAAACCTGATAATAAATTGTTCAAATAAGGCCTTCGAAAATAGTGGAATTAATTACTTTTGGAGTGTCAAGAACTCGTTGGAAGTACTTGATAAATTGCATGCATATTGGTGATTTTGAATCTGTTCAAAGTTTTGATTTTTCTACCCTATATACCACATTGCCTCACATTCTCATTAAGAAAAACTTCACACACCTAATTAAATGGGCATTTAAAAAGTCAGAATGTGAATATATATGTTCAAACTCTTTTAGGTCATTTTTTAGTAGCAATAAACAAAAAAACTATGTCAATTGGACATGCTTTGATACTATATATGCCCTTGAATTTTTACTAGATAACATTTTTGTTCGCTTTGGAGATTCCGTATATCGTCAGGTTATCGAAATTCCAATGGGGACTAACTGTGCACCACTTATTGCGGACCTTTTTTTGTATTGCTATGAGTTACAATTTATGACAAAAATCAGCAAAGACCCATCGAAACAACATCTGATACACAAATTTAATAATACTTTTAGATATTTGGATGATATTTTGGCTCTCAATAATGACGACTTCAGTATGTATACTAAAGAAATTTATCCTGTTGAACTTACTTTAAATAAAGCTAATACTAACAATGACCACTGCCCTTTCCTCGATCTTGATATCTATATCATTAACGGAAAGCTTAATACTAAAATATATATTAAAAGAGATGATTTTTCATTTCCTATCGTTAATTATCCATTTTTAGATGGTGACGTTCCCTTGTCACCATCTTACGGTGTTTATATATCTCAACTTGTATGATTCGCTCGTGTATGTAACAATGTTTTAGATTTTAACGAGAGAAATTTATGTGTATTACTGAAAAATTATTACACCAGGGTTTTCGATATCACAAACTAGGCAAAACATTTACTAAATTTTATCATCGGTATAAGGACATCATTCGTAAATATAGCTCAACATGCAGACTTCTTATAAGTTCAGGTATTTCACATCCAATTTTTTATGGAAATATTCTTTATAAAGCACAAAAATGTCAGTATTCACCTCTGAAGCTAACAAAACCTTTAAATAGACTTATTAAGAAGGGATATAGTTACGATACTGTTGTCAGGTCATTAAAGATTGCATATTTTGGCGTTAATATTGATTCACTTATAGGGTCTTTGCATCGGCACTAAACACATTTATTTAAAATCAGTTGTTGGCATGACACGGGTTATGTTCTTCTCATATATGTTATGATGGTATGATACTAAACCCCTAACGGGAAGGATTGTGCCTGATATTCATATGATGAAGACATAATCTTTCAATCAGTTTAATTGAAGTCTGGAGCTGGCATGTCAGTTAACTGCTAGTAGTCTGTTGTTATTTATGTATTATTGTCATTTTGTTTATTTTCTTTGGTTACATCTTCTGACATCAGACTCGGACTTCTCTTGAACTGAATTTTAATGTGCATATTGTTATGCGTTTACTTTTCTACATTGGCTAGAGGTATAGGGGGAGGGTTGAGATCTCATAAACATGTTTAACCCCGCCGCATTTTTGCGCCTGTCCCAAGTCAGGAGCCTCTAGCCTTTGTTAGTCTTGTATTATTTTGAATTTTAGTTTCTTGTGTACAATTTGGAGTTTAGTATGGCATTCATTATCACTGAACTAGTATATATATTTGTTTAGGGACCAGCTGAAGGACGCCTCCGGGTGCGGGAATTTCTCGCTGCATTGAAGACCTGTTGGTGACCTTCTGCTGTTGTCTGTTCTATGGTCGGGTTGTTGTCTCTTTGACACATTCCCCATTTCCATTCTCAATTTTATTGCTAAAACGAACATTCTAAGGTTACTCACTAACAGAATCAATAAAAGTAAAAAAAAATGTTGTATTAAAATGTAACAGGATTTGCTTCTGGTGTAAAACCACCAAATCATAGTACGTCACATCCGGTTTCATACTAATGTATGAAAAAGGGTTAAAAAAAATATTTCATTGAATTTGACAGTTGTAGGAAATTAATCCTACATTTCATTGCAATAAAAAAATTCCGAGTCATAATCATATATCTTGGGTGTTTCAAAGCACCATTCCTTTTTTATTTGGTGTTTCTATAAAATATTTTGGAAACTTGAGTTGACTTGGTCATTAAAGCTTGTAAACAGGAAAAAAAGGGGTTAAAAATTTGACTGGTTTACTTCTGGTGATGGTTATCTTTTGTGCAATGAAATGTTATGTGAAATTTTCATTGTAGTACTGCCAATTAGTTCTTTATTTGAACAAAGATAAATTCTGCACAATTTTTATACTCCTGCCATTGCGGAGGGAGCATTTAGGTTTACCCTTGTTCGTCTGTAGGTACGTCAGTCCGTACGTACGTCCCTAAATTGGTTTCCATTCCCTTACTTTAGTTTGCCTCAACCAAATGTTATGAAACTTATACACAATGCTTATTGCCACAAAAATCAGATCAAGTTAGAATATGGGTGGCGTTTCTTTTACCTTTCTGGAGTTATGCCCTTTATAATGTTCTATGCATGCAGGCACATCATCTGTGTCCCATGGACACATTCTCCATTTATTTGGAAAATGCCAATTTAAAAAAGACTAATAGGGGAAAAACAATGGTGGTATTACTCCTAAATGAGAAGCTGCACATGCACCTTTGACCTTGTATGTACCAGTACTCTCATTTGTTAAAATGTCATGCTATTTTAGTGAATTATTATATAGAATATGTTTGCCTTCATAAAATAATTTTTGCATTCATTTGAATGCATGTTCTTGTCAGCAAGGGTTTTTAACAGTTATATTAATGTGGATAACCTTCTGTATAGGAAGCGTAAACCATTATTGTTACTAGAACCTTAAGTGGTTAAATAAATAACAATCAGAATAGGGAATTTGCCCAGATCAGACTTCTTATTTGGATAATGTTCCAGACAGGAAGCTTATACCATTATTCTTACTTGAACCTAAAATGAAATTTTCTGAGTGGATTGTAGTCTCAAAAACAGATTTTAAGAGAAGATTGCCTTGAAATAAGGCTTTTCCATGAATATTAGTAGGCAGAGTAAGCCATACTCAGTTTTTTGGGGAGCTTTTTCTTACTTATTTCCTTAATTTTTTTGGAGAGCTTTTTCTCCTTATTTCCTTTATTTTTCTATAAAAGAACACTTTTTCCTTTAGAGTATTCTCTAAGGAATATACAGACTACAGTTATAAGTGAATGAAATAATTTTTGAAGCAGTAACAACAAACTATTGACTAATTTTCTTAAGGATATTTTATTGTTGAAGTGATTACTACAGAAATGTGATTCTACCATTTTTTAGTTTGATATAATTACTATGTGTTTGATAATTTCAGTTATACAGTTACTAAAGTACAGTATGCTGTCAATCCACCACTTGTTAAACAATTCCAGTAAGTCATTTTGATTCCACATGAATGGATTTAAAAGAAAGATGTGTATCTTTTAGTTTATTGCACATGACATATAATGTAACAGTTAAAATTATTTATTTTTAGCTCACCTGGCCCAAAAGGGCCAAGTAAGCTTTTCTCATCACTTGGCGTCTGTCGTCTGTCGTCTTTGTCGTCGTCCGTTAACTTTTACAAAAATCTTCTTCTCTGAAACTACTGGGCTAAATGAAACCAAACTTGGCCTAAATCATCCTTAGGGTATCTAGTTTAAAAAATGTATCCAATGACCCTGCCCATCAACCAAGATGGCCGCCATGTCTAAAAAAGAACATGAAGGTAAAATGCAGTTTGGCTTATATCTCTGAAACTAAAGCATTTAGAGCAAATCTGACTTGGGGTAAAATGTTCATCAGGACAAGATCTATCTGCCCCGAAAGTTTCAGACGCATCAGACAACCTGTTGTTGGGTTGCTGCCCCTGAATTGGTAATTTTAAGGAAATTTTGCTGTTTTTGGTTATTATCTTGAATATTATAATAGATAGAGATAAACTGTAAACAGCAAAAATGTTCAGCAAAGTAAGCTCTACAAATAAGTCAAAATTTTCAATTGACCCCTACAGGAGTTATTGCCTTTTAAAGTCAATTTTTCACAATTTTTCGTAAATTTTTGTAATCTTTTACAGATATCACACGTCAAGTATGTAAGGATGAATTTACTATCAACTTGAGGCTGTTGTTGGGATTGGTTAAAGTAAGCTACTTTTCTATCTTTGATATTTCCTCGTTTGTCTTTGCAGATTAAAGAAAAGTCAACCAAAAATTTTCAAATGACAAGCACTAGCACTATTATGTTCAGATCAATTTTCTTGAAACTGCACACATTTGTTGGGGTTAGTAGGAGAAAGCAAAGTTCAATTTTGAAAATTTTTTGAATAATCATTCCCAAGTTATTGGACTTAATGTTCAAGTATATGTCTATTTTGCAGTTGTCATGCACTTACTTTAGTATGCCTAGTTCAATTTACTTCAAAATGTTTATTGTTGTTTGGATTGATGAACGTGAGCACTCTTTCCTTTTTTTTTTTAATTGTGAATTGGAAGTTCAGAATTATGAGATTTTAACCTTAAACTGTCAGGAAATATGTATATGCCTATAAAGGATTCACCCCCCCCCCCCCCCCCCCCCCCCCCCCCCCCCCCCCCCCCCTCTCCTTGTTATTCTGCAGGGTCTTTCTTCTGACTTCTGATTTAAAGCCTTCTACAATATTCAAATTTATTCTTCAATAAATAATTTCAATATACATTTGACGGGCATTTCATCTGCACCTAGCTATATATTTGGTTTTGGCTATAATAATAGATCAACTGAAACTGTGAAAAGCAAAAAGGATAAGCAGTACAAGATATGTAATTAGATCATCATTAGAATTCTTTCAGGAGTTGTTGCCTCTAAATCACAATTTTAACCCATTTTACCTATTTTCTAGAAGACTGTTATGGATAAACTCTGTTAAATTAAAACCACTGAGATATTTTGGCCCACATAGTTTCCATTCAACACAAATTTTCTTGTTACATTGTAACATTTTGATGCAAAAATGCCAGGCTAGCAATACAGGCTCCGGTAGTTTTGTGAGTGCACAACCATTCTATGTTATATACACTTGTTTTTCTATAGACCTTGTCTGTCGGAGGTCAGATATGTACTCATTTATAGAGAATAATGCATATCATTTTTATTTTACATACAGTAAAGTTTGGTGGTCAGCTACGGTTCTGCTGATGAAAAATCAATATACATGTTCTTTGAAAGAAAAACAAACATTTCAAAACTCATTTTCCTTATAATTTTAGTGAATCAATGGAAGATTTGAAGAAACAAAGAGGAGAAGAGTTATCTTTTCCAGTGCTAGCTTTTCATGGAACTGAACAGAAAAATATCAAACCTATTGTTGAAAATAATTTTAAAGTGCCAGGTAATATCCATATAATAAGTTTGACACAATTCTTAAAAATATATGAATTTCAAAACAATCATGATTTTTAATTAAATCTTATTAATATTTGGAAGCATAGAAATTATTGTTATATATTTAAAGAAAAACATGAAAAATTATATTTTACTATATTATATAGTTGTAAGGCAGAATATAGTTTCAGGAACAAAATATCTTGATTTTTTTTCTGATTTGAAATTTAGAATGGCTTTCAGACAGTAACTTCAGACCTGCCAACTATCCCAATTTTGGCGTTATCATCCCGATTATCATACCTCAACCCAAATCCCGATATCGGGATCGTAAAACAAGTCAAAATCCTGATTTTCACAAATCTACCAGGAAAAATCATCGGTTACCGATTTTGAAGTTTTTCTGATCAATTTCTATAAATCTATAATTTTACCTGGCGACATATTTATGACAAATTTACAACCCTACACTAATCAACGTTCACAACAGGTGTCATAATTTGTTGTTACAGGTAATCTGCTTATCTGATGGGTCATAACAATCCTCAGAATTAATTAATTTGTAAACAGAATCGGTCAGTCGGCATTTCAATTTTCATCAATTTATCATACAATCATAATTTGCAACGTTTACCGTAGTTTCATGACAAAATTGTAATTAACCGAAAGACAAAAACTGTAATGAACTCATTAAAAAACAGTGTTTATCTTGAAATCGGTTAAAAAATTTTGAAATCAGATGTGTTTCTGTCCAGTTCTGATTCTATTGTGTATAAGACTCCGCCGGTAAGAGCACCTCTGAACACTTAACAGAAAGTTAACTCAAATTTTGTCCATTTTCTCATTAATACTGATAGACTAACTCAAGATCTGTCTTCATCCTATTAACTTTAGGACATTTAGGTTTAGGTCTTTTGAGTCGTGGTGCAAAGATAAGAAGGCCTTTGGAGGAGGAAAGGGGTGGGTTTCACTTGGTATCCTTTATTTCTTTATTTTTTAGGCCATTTTTATAGGACCGCAAAAAAATTTTGGGGTCGTATATTGGTATCACGTCATCGGCGGCAATAACTTGAGTTTAAATGTATGGGTCTCTATGAAATTTAACCAAAAGGTTCAATACCACAAAAGGAAGGTTGTTATTGTTTTTGGGGGTGATGGTCCCAACCATTTAGGAATAAGGGGCCAAAACAAGCATTTTTCTAGTTTCAAGGCAAATAACTTGTGTATAAGTATTTTGATTGCTCTCAAATTGTTCCACAAGGTTTAATACCACACGTAGAAGGTTGGGATTCATTTTGGGGGTAATTGCCCAAACCGTTCAGGAATTAGGGGCCAATAAGGGTCTAGAACAAGCATTTTTATACGCCCGTTTACGGGACGTATTATGGTATACCGTTGTACGTCCGTCTGTCCGTCCGTCTGTCCGTCCGTCCGTCGTCAACATGTCGGACATTAACTCAAAAACACTTTAACCAATTTGCATAAAACTTTGGTGAATTGTTTATATCTATTGACGTGAGCTCCCTTTTGTTTTTTATAAATTTTAGATTTTATGTTTCCGAGTTATGGGGTTTTATTCATTAAAAAAAGGGGGATTTTCCAATTTTTCGGACAATGACTCAAGAATGCTTTCACCAACTTGCAAGAAATTTTGGTTGATTGTTTATATCTATTGACATGAGCTCCCTTTGGATTTTTATGAATTTTAGATTTTACGTTTCCGAGTTATGGGGTTTTATTCATAAAAAAAAGGGGGATTTTCCAGTTTTCGGACAATTTCTCAAAAATGCTTTCAGCAGTTCTCATGAAACTTTGATGAATTGTTGATATCTATTGATGTAAGCTCCCTTTTGAATTTTATAAATTTTAGATTTTACATTTCCGAATTATGGGGTTTATTCATTAAAAAAGGGGGGATTTTCCATTTTTCAGACAATAACTCAAAAATGCTTTCAGCAATTCATATGAAACTTTGGTGAACTGTTTATATCTATTGATGTAAGCTCCCTATAGAATTTTATAAATTTTATTTGTTTATAGTCTGACAACAGATTTACTAAGTATTGAGCAACAGCACAGTGTATTGCACAACAGCAAGAAATCTTTAATTGAATATAAATTCAATTCATATAACCAACTTTAAGTTCTTTGACTACATTTATTCAGAAACCTATAATACATGTATGTCAAATATTTAATTACAATCCAAATTCAGACCTGTATCAAGCTTGAATATTGTATCCATTTTTGCCCTAACTGTTCAGGGTTAGACCTCTGCGGGCGTATCCAGCTGCGCTCAGCGAAGCAGTTTATTCTAGATTTCAGACAATAACTTGTGTTTAAGTGTATGGATGTCACTTAATTAGGGCCCTGCCAAATGTTGGACGCCCTATAGTGATCAGTCTGTCTGTCCGTCCGTCTGTCCATCGTCCGTTTGTCCATCCGTCCGTAACAAATTGTGTCCTCTAAATCTAGAGAACCGTTATGATTTCAAAGTTTATACTTGACATGTATATTAACCAACACCAGAGGGTGTGTCATGATGTATGTATAACTTCCTAGGTCAAAGGTCAAGGTCAAAAACTTTGGTTTTAGTTGACAACCCCATGACCTATGGTAAAGATCGTGTCCGCTCTATATCTTGAGAACCGTTATGGTTTCAAAGTTTATACTTGACATGTATATAAACCAACACCAGAGGGTGTGTCATAATTTATGTACAACTTCCTAGGTCAAGGTCAAAAACTTTGGTTTCAGTTGACAACCCCATATCTAATGATAAAGATACAAATTTTTTACCACACATTATTCAAAGCGGGGCCCACAGAGATGGCTTCCATCTCAATGATATCTAGTTTGTACCACATTTTACAAAAAGAAAATTTCTTCAAAATTAATTTTTGGAAGGGGGGTAAAATTTTTTTTTTTTGGGGGGGGCAATTTTTTTTCCTCAAAAGAAAATTCTCTTCAAATATTATTTTTTTGGAGGGGGTAAACAAAAAATTTTTTTTTGGGGGGAGTCAATTTTTTTTTCCCTCAAGATTTAAGAAATTGTCAATTTTACAAAGAAAAAAATTGGGGGTCACAATTTATTTTGCTTATTCTTTGTATATAGTCTGAAAACAGATTTACTAAGTATTGCGCAACAGCACAGTGTATTGCACAACAGCAAGAAATCTTCAATTGAATATAAATTCAAATCATACAACCAATTTCATATTCTTTGACTACATTTGTTCTGTGTCAGAAACCTATAATGTGTCAAATATTTAATTACAATCCAAATTTCAGACCTGTATCAAGCTTGAATATTGTGTCCATTTTTGCCCCAACTGTTCAGGGTTGGACCTCTGCGGTCGTATCCAGCTGCGCTCGGCTAAGCAGTTTATTCTCTATTCTTAAATTATTTTGCCAATTAATAAGTACAAGAATCATGCAAATAACAGAAGTCAAGGCATATTAGCTCATCATCAGTATACCAAAAGAAAAGAGAAGAGATATGATACTATTTCAAGAGTAAAAAACAGTGCACACAGAAACTCTGCAAAAATTGTAACCCTTAAAAATCTGGTTGCACACTAAATCCCCCATGGAGATTTTGAAAAGTTGGCAGGTCTGTAACTTGTCTAATTGGGCTACTACGTATTAGTTTACTTGACTGTCCAAATGACCAATGACTTGCCTGTCCAACTGACAAATGACTTGCCTTTGGATTTGAGCAAATTTTATTTTAAGACAGATTAAAGGAAGAAGAAGAATATTTATTTCAATTAAGGGCCCCAAAGGGCACAAACATTTGACATGACAATAACATCAATAATTCGAGATTAAAACAATTAAATAACATTCAATATGAGACTCTGGTGACAACATTAAATCCAACATTCTCATCACTGCAGATGGTGCAGAATACTAAGTTGAAGACATGTCATGAAACTAATTATGTGTTTTTATGACTTGCAGAATCTTTCTACACCATTTTAATCATCAACTGCCAACTTTTGACATGTTATTTGCCCTTAAATTAAGAAAAGATTGGTCAAACAACCCTTTTATTTTAGATATCCACTTGCATATAGTTCCTTTGTAAATCAAAATTTATAATGATTTACTATTTATGAAATAAATTGAAAAAGTATTTTTACATCAATTGAATCAGTTGATAACAATTTTGAAAGTATTATATTATTATCTTATGCTTGTGTAAGTTTTTGGTCTATGAAATTTAGGTCAACATGTGTATTAATATATCTAAGTTGATTCCCACACTTTTTATACGATTACAAAATTTAATTTTGCGGTCGTATATTGGTATGATGTTGGCGTCGTCGTCCGAAGACAAATTGGTTTTCGCACTCTAACTTTAGTTTAAGTGAATGGAACTTTATGAAATTTTACCATAAGGTTCAATACCACAAAAGGAAGGTGGGGATTGATTTTGGGGGTTATGGTACCAACTGTTAAGGAATTAGGGGCCAAAAAGAGGCCAAAAATAGGCATTTTTGTAACTTCCAGACATAACTTGTGTGTTAGTGTATGGATCTCTCTGACATTGTACCACAAGGTTCCATATCACAAAGGGAATGCTGGGATTGATTTTGGGAGTAATTGCTTCCAAATTTTAGGAATAAGGGGCCAAAAAGGGGCAAAAAACAAGCATTTTTCTAGTTTCATGACAATAACTTGTGTGTAAGTGTATGGATCTTTTGGAATTGTACTACAAGGTTCCATATCACAAAAGGAAAGCTGGAATTGAGTTTGGGGGTAATTGCCCAAAACGTTTAGGAATAAGGGGCCAAAAAGGGGCCAAAAATAAGCATGTTTCTAGTTTCCAGACAATAACTTGTGTTCAAGTGTATGGATCTCTCTGAAATTGTACTGCAAGGTACCATACCACAAAGGGAAGGCTGGGATTGATTTTGGGGGTAATTGCCTCAAAATTTTAGGAATTAGGGGCCATAAAGGGACAAAAAAAAAGCATTTTTCTAGTTTCAGGACAATAACTTGTGTGTAAGTGTATGGATCTTTATGAAATTGTACTACAAGGTTCCATATCACAAAGGGAAGGCTGGGCTTGAGTTTGGGGGTGATGAATCATAAGGGGGTTCAAAAAATTTGGGAGGGGGGGACTTTTTTTTCCTTTTTTTTCTTTAAAATTTTCCATTTCAAATTGGTTATTTCTGATTTATATATAAAAGCAAATAATAATGATATGGTTTGAATTGGTAAATTAAAATTTTTTAAGTTCTTAGACCACATTCATTCTGTGTCAGAAACCTATGCTGTGTCAAATATTTAATTACAATCCAAATTCAGTGCTGTATCAAGCTTGAATGTTGTGTCCATACTTGCCCTAACTGTTCAGGGTTCGACCTCTGTGGTCGTATCAAGCTGCGCCCCAGCGGAGCATTTTATTTAAAATGGTATAACTCCAATTCTTTCCATAGGCAAGTAAGAGTCAGTATGATGATAAACTGTCATGATTTTCTAATAATTACACTCAAAGGTGTAAGTATTAATTGGAAACAACCCCAGTCTTAATAAACCACATTTAATATCTCATGACCTGTTACATAATTAAATAGGCACAATTTATTACACACCTAACTGAATACACACATTCTTGACCTCAATAGTAAACCTACAAATGTATTATTTATTTTGATCTACACTACGTTAAAATATTCTGTTAGTTTTGCTAGCTAGCTGAATGAAAAAAGTGTGGATAAAAAATGCAAGCAAATTTTATTTCACTTGTAAAATCAGTGTCATTATCATCTGACATATGTCAATAATCAAGATCTAATGAATTAGTTACAATTATCAGAAATTTGGTTGAAACAATAAACAAAATTGCTTAACTCTTACATGAGCATTTTCTGCAATAAAATTTATTTGTTTGTTCTACATTTATATCCCATTATATTTCTATTTAACAGTAATTGGAAATATCTCAGCATTAGGTATTTGTACATTTAAATTTGAATACAGGAATTTGAAATGTATTTTTTCTTAGTGAAGAATGAACACCAATTTAGATAAAAATTAGTTATTATTTTTTTTTCAGTTTTGTTGTTGAGAAAGTGCATTTCCAAGGCCTCTTTGTGGAAATTATTAAGCCAGTTATGATTAATGGCATATTAAAAAATATATTACTTGTTTGACGATTTCACTTTCCATTCATGTCACTACCATTAAATTGCAAATATTTATAAAAAAAAATATCTGACATTGAGTCTAAAATTGAAATATCAATATATATATATCATTATTTGCATCAATATTGCGAAATTCCCTACCTGTGGGCAATAACATTGAAATTTAACAGTAAGATTGGAAATGAAAAGAGAAAAAAATATTGAAAAAAGTATGGTCAGAAAGAATATCAGACTAGCTATGAATATGGCTGGATCACAACATCAACGATGATTTGATTTGTTTTGCTTTAATGCCACATTTTTTAAGAAAGCAGTTCAAAATGTGACATGACATTATCAGTTATTTTCAAAACTTAATCTGTAAATTGTTTATTTCACAACAGATTTTTTTTTACTATATATTAGTTTACCAGAATCATCTCTTTTTTTCTAGGTGAAAAAGGTTTTACACATCGTACAGATACTGGATGGTATGGTAAAGGTGTTTACTTCAGTGAATACCCCTCATACTCCATGGGATATATTTCAGGAGCCAGTCAGCTGCTTCTTTGTCAGGTTTTGCCAGGGAAAGTATTCCATTGTACAAATCTGATCCATGGAGCAGCACTGAAAAAAGGATATGACTCGCATATGTCACCAGACAAGAAAGAATTGGTTGTTTTCAACTGCCATCATATAATCCCAGCTTACATTGTGCATTACACTGGATCAAAAGGAGACTTCAAATATAAAGTGAGTTCTTAAGAATTATCAATTATAAGATGTGTCATATTTATATAGTATTCATTGCTAACTGTGGTAGAAGCAATGGAAAAAATGCCACACATTGTAAGTCAGACTTTCAGTTCAGTAAAAATGTTTTTTAATAACAGTGGAGACACAATTAATTTGAAATATAAAAATCAAAAAAATATAAACAAATAGGAAAAATAATATTCTTACAGTTTGTATATCCACTATCAAAGAGTGGCTGCTACATTACAATCACTTTGTCCATCTGTCGATCTGTTCATCCTAGAGATATTTTCTTCAAGCTTTTTTCAGGTACTATTGAACAGAATGACTTTATATTTGGTCATCAGCTTAACAGTGATGAACTGTTTTCAGATTTGTTTTACAACTTCTCCTTGTTTGCAGATACTTTGCATTTTTCAATATGTTGACTGAGGTAATTTTTTTCATCACATATTTCTTTAGTACCACTGAACAGAAAGATTTCATAATTTATCTTCAGCTTGGCAGTGATGTCTTGTAACATGCAAGTGTTTTTCAGTTCTGTTAGACACCAATTCTTCCTCTTTTCTGATATTAAGATTGAATAACAAGTAAGGTATACTTTGCAATGCATGCAACTTCATGTTAATATTTGAAATAATTTTAGGCACCAACAGGTAAAGGAACAGGTAAAGGAGGGGCATCATCTAACAAAGCTTCTGGTGATGATAATCAGCAACTTGATCTTATTTGTGACGAAGCAGAGCTTTCAAAAAAAGGAATGCTTGCAGTGAGTGCTAAGGCTACAAAGTTAGTATAACATTGGATTTTAAGATATTCCTTGCCTTAGGATAGAACTAATAAAAACATTAAGTAAACAGGGAAGACACTTTTAAATTACTACCAAAAGTGGTTGTATCCAAACTTCAATCTCAGTTGAAATACATCAACATAATTCTGATTTGTTTTTATACGACCGCAAAATTTTTTTTGTCATATATTGGTATCACGTTGTCGTCGTCGTCAGCGTTGTCCGAAGACAGATGGTTTCCGGATAATAACTTTAGTATAAGTAAATAGAAATCAATAAAATTTTAACACAAGGTTTATAACCACTAAAGGAAGGTTGGGATTGATTTTGGGGGTTATGGTCCCAACTGTTTAGGAATTAGGGGCCAAAAAAGGGGCCTAAATAAGCATTTTTGTAGTTTCCAGACAATAACTTGTGTTAAAGTGTATGAATCTCTCTGAAATTATACCACAAGTTTCCATACAACAAAGGGATGGTTAGGATTGACTATGGGGGGTTATGGCTCAAACCATTTAGGAATTAGAGGCAAAAAAGGGGGAAAAACAAGTTTTTTTCTGTTTAAAGGACAAGACAATTTAAAGCAGTCTAAGGTAGGTAATCCAATCCCAATTAAAAACAACAATGTTTGATTACCTCCCTTACACTGCTTTGTAAATGATGTATTAAGAAATGATGATTGTCTTGAGGTGATTAGCTGTCAATTTATTTTTAAAAGTTACTATTAATTATTGATAATTTCAGCCATGACTATGTATGTCATTTTATATTTTAAGACTTGTATGATGTATTTAAAAGGGTAATTATGGTTGCAAATTTTATTAAAATTTGAATTTAAATTATGACTATATCTTGAGGGAATGATTTTTTTTGGAATAAGGGAAAGGGGGAGGTGAAAAAATTGGGGGGGGGGGGGGGGGGGGGGGGGGGGGGGGTGACTATTTTTTCTCATTTCAGATTTCAGAAATTAAAAAGAAAATGTCTTCAAATATATTTTTTTGGGGGTAATATTCAGCAGGATAGTGTATTGCACAAAAGCAAAAAAATGGGGTCAATTTTATTTAGGGGGAGGGGTTCAATTCGCAACAGCATAGTGTATTGCACAAAAGCAAAAAAATTGAATATAAATTCAAATCATATAACCAATTTTTAAGTTCTTTGACTACAGTTATTCTGTGGCAGAAACCTATTATGTGTCAAATATTTAATTACAATCCAAATTCAAACCTGTATCAAGCGTGAATATTGTATCCATTTTGGCCCCAACTTTTCAGGGTTTGGACATCTGCAGTCGTATCCAGCAAGTAATGAAGTTGGGATGATGATATGTCTAGGTGAGTTTAATGACAGTTATCAAAACTGGGTCCCTTGACATAGTTAGATTTAACAGGTATTTGGATGAGTATGTTTGTTGATGATAGCTAAATTCGCATCAAATTAAGGTCATTATGACCTACATTTATTCTTTTCATATTTCTTTTAGTGCTTAGTTTAAATTTAAAAGTCATTTTAGGGAACACTACACACTTTGATATCTTTGATAACCTGTGTTCTGATTTATCTCAGAAATTAGTATAGTGATTTAGTATAAATTGGTTGTAATACCAGTATCAGTATTTTGAATGCCAATAAATTAACAAAATAAAGCAAAATATCAGAGTTGGTCATCAATGTAATGAATTATGTTATTTTATTTACAGAGTATTTAAAGGTCAACAGATTACATTTACTGGCATCTTTCAACATACACAAGCAGAAATGTATAAATTAGTTGAGAAACATGGTGCCAAGAAAGGTAAACTGCAATGTCATATTGTAATCACATATTTCTTAGAGGCTGTTCTCATTAGTAAGTAAAATGTCTGATAAACTAGTAGGGGTATACTTTGCAACTTCTTGTTACAGTATTACAAGTAAAATATAACTTCTCTTTAAGAGCAAATCCACCAGTTTTATCCTACTTTCAGATTTGATTATATATACATGTATTATGTGTGTACCTTTATTATTATCAATCAAAATTGTTGAGAAATAAAGTAAAGGTCAAAGACTTTGTTTTTCAAGATAATGGAGTAAAAAAAAAGACAAAAAAAACATACTAATTTCCAGAGACCAAAGGACAAACCATTAACAACTTTAAGTCACAGTACAGTCTTAGCATGTTTTGATGATCCTTTTTAAAGAATTGATTGTGCTTATCAAAGAGATGTTACACTTCCACAAAACTAGTGGACTAAAATTTGATTCAAGTTAGTTTGAATTTGTTTCTTCAGACTGATCAACTGCATCTTTGCTAGCCAAGGGTAACGATCCACTTCCCTCCTCTCCACCCTTGGCAGATTAAGCCAACATTTGTGATAACAATGTTGCACCATCTATCGGTAGATTAAAGTCACGCCCATTCCGAATACATTATTCTTGACCAATGGTAGCACTTGAACTCTTCAATTCGGAGGTAAAAACACGGTAGCGTCTAGATTCTACACACTTGGTAAAGCAGGAAACGAAAATATACATTGACATTCATGCATTTGTGCAAGAAACATACACAGGAACTTCTATTAGTTGATTAAAAACATTCAAATTGTCACTAAATATAGTCGTATGTTTAGGGATGTAAAGACTTGTTGCACAATAAGCATGTGGCAATTGTTTACATACACTTTCTACATTTACACGTGATCATGTTATAGGCACTTTTATATTGGATGCAGCGAGTTTCGACTGCAACCAATGAAAATCATTACCTTGTGTCTCCGAAATTCTATCTCAATCCGCCAAGGGTGGAGAGGAGGGAAGTGGATCGTAACCCTTGGCTAGCGAAGATGGATCAACTGGTGAACAATTTAAGCAGTTACTTAAAGATTATAAGTATAAATCAAGTGTGTGGTATGAAGATATTCTTACCATCCAATACAATGGTTACATGAGAAATTAGAAAATTCAAAAATCAAATAATTAGTTATCAGGCAGACTTATATAGATAACATATGCCTTGGATATGAAAACTGCCATTATTCATTTAACTGAAAAGGGGTATAGCTGTGTGAAAAATGGCATACCCCAGGTTAATTTGTAAGTATATTTGTAATTTATTCTTGGTAAACTGTACTATATTTATGTCATCACAACGATGTTTGTCTTTCTAATTTTAGGCACTGCTGCTTCATTTAGTTTTTTGATAGCAAGTCTAGATGAATACTGCAATTTGTCAAGCAAATGTGCACAAGCAAATAAGAAAAATGTAGGTAAATTTAATCTATTCTATAGGTATTTTGTTATAATTTAACTACATTACATTAGAATGAAAAACAGTTTTTCAATGGTATACATAATACTTACAAATAGGGAGAATTCAGGCACTTATTGAAAGCAAGCTTGGTGGCCTTGGGCTGTTTTCTACTCTTTGGTTGAGTTGTTGTCTCTTTGACACATTCCCTGTTTCCATTCACAATTTATTAAAGTATTAGGTATTTATCATTTTTGTCAGAGAATTATAACTTTCGGGTAAAACACAATAAAGGGAACAGTAAGGTTGCACTTGAGGTCAAAAATAAAGGTCAACACAATAGAAAAATAAGTTGTGAACCTGAAACAGTAATGCTTGAAATTTGTAAAACTCATTTGGTTTGTGGAAAAAACAATAAGAAATGTTTTATATTCTACTTTGTATGGGGTTAGGTAAGTGCTGGTTACAGACAATACTTGTAAAATTAACCTCTAGAAATTTATGTCTTTAATGAACTATCCCAAGACTTTTTGCACAATTATAATTCCAAATCAATTTTAAATTAACAAAATACCTACCAAAAAACACTTTTGGTGGATGATAAAGGATAGTCATTTCTACTGAACTTCATGAAATAAATGTTTTTCTATCATAAGCATATTTTGCCTCCAAATATACTTGAGTTCATTAAATTAACCTTTAAGTGTATTTTATAAGTCTTTAACAAATCTACATGCTAGTATACATGGTATAAAATCAATTGGAGAAAGAAATACATGAAATTTTGAAAAAAGAAAAATTTATTTTATTTTTTTTTTACCTGGGTTACGGACACTACAAAAAGAGTCTGAAGATATAAAAACCATGAAAATAATCATGAACATTGATGAAGATGAATTTTCTTGACCTCGCATTAGAAAAGAACATCTTTTGAGTTTATGACAAACTGTATTCCAAAACGGGGGTTTTACAATAAGATTTTCTGGTTTCAAATTAGTACGTCAAGGATTACTATCAGCTCAAATATTTTTAGCAGTTATCTGTTTTCTTTTTTTTTATGCCCCCGCCGTAGCAGAGGGGGCATGAAGTTTTACCCTTGTCCGTACATCCCAAAGTTGATTCCATTTTCTAACTTAAGTTTGCCTCAACCAAATGTTATGAAACTTATACACAATGCTTATTACCACAAAACACAGATCAAGTTTGAATTTTGATGGTGTCACTTAAACCGTTGTAGAGTTATGCCCTTTTCAAAAGGAAAAATTGCTGAATTTTTCGTTTCCGTTCTCTAACTTTAGTATGCCTCAACCAAATGTTATGAAACTTATACACAATGCTAATTACCACAAAATACAGATCAAGTTTGAATTTTGGTGGTGTCACTTTTTCTGTTCTAGAGTTATGCCCTTTACAAAAGGAAAAATTGCTGAATTTTTTGTTTCCGTTCTCAAACTTATGTTTGCCTCTACCAAATGTTATGAAACTTAAATACAATACTTATTACTAAAAAAACTCAGATCAATAACAAATTTGGGTAGCCTCACTTTTAACGTTCTTCAGTTATGTCCTTTTATAACTTTATATGATATGCAAGCGGGGGCATCATCTGTGTCCCATGGACACATTCCCCGTTTATTTTAATTTTTTTTATCAAACGATTATGATGATACAGCAAAGCAGACAACATAAAATCTACAAATTCAGCCATTATTGATGAAATAAAAATATCTATAATATCATAGTTACGGACACTACATCATTTTTGTAGTGTCCGTAACCATATTTCAAATTATTCTGACTATATGCTAATAAGAAGGTGCAAAATTTTGTTATTGTGTCAGTGTTTAGTGTCATATCTATAAAGAAAAATAGCTTATTGTTTACTGTAGCTATTCTTTCTTGGAGAATAATAAGCTGATTAGGGACACTACACTTTTCTGAAAAATATTTTTTTCTACTTTGAAAATTTAAAAAATATTCTGTATGAACCATAACATTTATATAACTGTATTTTATTTTAGTGTTGTTATATTTGAGTATGTTGACATACCTATTTAATGAATTATCTTGCAATTAATTTTATTTTCCTTGGCCATAAATGATCAACACTTAATAGATTAAAAAATGTATAACGAAGCACCACTTTTCTGCATGTTAAATTTTTGAATTAGCTCTGATTTTTGTAAAGTTGAAATCATTTTAATTGCCATTTAATAATCTGTAAATGATAACATGAGAAAGGATCATTACACTTACAGTTAAAAAGATTTTGAAGATATCCGCAAAATGTCTGAAAATGACCAAGGCACATTGATGGCCCTTATTTCTAGCTAAATTCAAAATTAAGATTTGATAGCGATTATCAGAATGTATCATAGTATCATATAATGAATACATAAGAAATAGGTCTTATTTCAGCTCACCTGGCCATTTTGGGTGTAATTGTCAATGCTTTATAATGCAAGCTATACAAAAATCTTTCTAACATACAGTATTTGTACATCAACTTGATATGTTTTACATCTTAAAAATTACTTAATATTAGGGACCAAAGAGGGAACCTACCGACTCTTTTTACAGGAAAATTTACAGGCTTAGAATTTAAGCTTAATAAATGTCTTCTGATCTTCCACTTCCAATTTAAGGATTATTTAGCCAAAGCCTGTATTTAGTAGAAAGTAAAATAACAAAAATACTGGACTCCAAGGAAAATTCCAAACAGGAAGCAGAGTTTTCCATTCAGCATTTAAGCCGGGTGTGCCGACCACCTTTCCAATTTAGGAGGTGGTCGGCTTTTTTTTCAAATTCTTGATTTTTTTGGGGTTCCAAACCGTAAAAATTTAAATATTAATTGCGCCTTGCTAATTTGTTTTTATTGACAAAAAATGGCCGATCGTCAAATTTCAATGTTTTCTTTTATTAATCGGGGGAAGAGAAAGGCAGATGAGTCGACAATGGTGATAAGGAAAATTCTAGGCCAAATAAATAAACTAAAATGGATAGTTGTATTGAAATTGTTGAAATTGAAAAAAAAGCATCAAAACAACGGAAAAGGCACGCAAGTGAAGATAAATATGAACAGGACTTTAAATGGCTAATCGTCACAGAGGAAGGATATTACTGTTCTGTGTGCCAAAAATACAGCACTAAAACAAGGAACAGGACAGACACTTGGATCGATAGGCCATGCATTCGAAGGAGGAGGGAGTCCTGCAAAAGCCATCTGCTATCCGAGATGCTAAGAGAAAAAAGGGATAAATTATTGAAAAAAATCAAATCAAAGAAGAATATTTGACAGTTTATGTGACTACATCTATTTATTTTTGTTCAATTCCATTAAATGTGAATCCCCACCCACAGTAAAAAAAAAACCCGGTTGGAAATGTTTAAAAAAAAAAAACACCTGTTTGCAAGTGTTTTTTTCAAAACACCCACCTTACCTTAGTGAAAAAAGGAGAACACTGGGAAGTCCTTTATCAAATCGCAAAATCTAAAGCTCAAACACATCAAACGAATGGAAAACAACTGTCATATTCCTGACTTGGAACAAACATTTCTTTATGTAGAAAATGGTTTTATAGTTAGCTAAACCTCTCACTTGTATGACAGTCGCTTAGAATTCCATTATATTGACAACTATGTGTGAGCAAAACAAACAGACATAATAGGTAAAAATGTCAAAAATTGGAGTACAGCAGTCAACATTGAATTATAATCTTAATCACTATAAAAAGAAATAACTATTTCAACAAAGAAAAACAAAACGCATATAAACACTCTATAGACATAGTACATAAGTAAAAATGAAAGACAAGAATTCAAAAATGACCATAACACAATAACACTATGGCGTGATGTATAAATACCAAGCCATGCCAAAAGTTTATTACCCAAAATGGACTAAACAGTTAAGGTAAAAAATATATAGAGACTAATAAAAAGAACACTATTACATGTAATTAAGATGATAAACAACTTCAGTACCTAGAATCTATACTTAGTAGAAGAATTTGGAGGCCATTAATTTTGATAAAAAAAAAAATATTTCAGGTTCCGATTTTAGGAGAAATGTTTGTTTATGACTGTATACTTCAGAAGAAAATGTTAGATCAAGATGATTACAATATGGACATCTTATTTTCAAAGTTTGTATGATTATAAGTTAAACCTTTTAATTAATTATACCCCCACTGAAAGAGTAGGGAGTATATCACATCATCTTGTCCTGTTGTCTGTCTATCCATCCATCTGTTCATTCTTTCATGCATCAAACAATCATTTTCATATCCCTTTTCTGAGATACTACTGAACATATTAACTTCATATTTGGTCAGAAGCTTGACAGTGATGATGAGTTGTAATGTGTTTGGACTTTTCTGATCAGTCAGACACCTACTCCCTTTTTTGATACTTTGAATTGGAACACATTGTATTTTTTGGATTATGAGCACACAATGAGCAGTTACTGTAATTGAAGCAACGCAGTCAAATCTTTTTTTTTTATTAGCTCACCTGGCCCAAAGGGCCAAGTGAGCTTTTCTCATCACTTGGCGTCTGTCGTCCGTCGTCGTCCGTCGTCATTAACTTTTACAAAAATCTTCTCCTCTGAAACTACTTGGCCAAATTAAACCAAACTTGGCCACAATCATCATTGGGGTATCTAGTTAAAAAAATGTGTCCGGTGACCCGGCGAACCAACCAAGATGGCCGCCATGGCTAAAAATAGAACATAGGGGTAAAATGTAGATTTTGGCTTATATCTCTGAAACCAAAGCATTTAGAGCAAATCTGACTTGGGGTAAAATTGTTTATCAGGTCAAGATCTATCTGCCCTGAAATTTTCAGATGAATCTGACAACCCATTGTTGTGTTGCTGCCCCTGAATTTGGTAATTTTAAGGAAAATTTGCCGTTTTTGGTTATTATCTTGAATATTATTATAGATAGAGATAAACTGTAAACAGCAATAATGTTCAGCAAAGTAAGATCTACAATTAAGTCAACTTGACCAAAATGGTCAGTTGATCCCTTAAGGAGTTATTGCCCTTTATAGTCATTTTTTACAATTTTTTGTAAATTTTTGTAATCTTTTACAAAAATCTTCTCCTCTGAAACTACTAAGACAAATTTAACCAAACTTGTCCACAATCATCATAAGGGTATCTAGTTTAAAAAATGTGTCCGATGACCCCGCCCGTGAACCAAGATGGCCGACATGGCTAAAAAATAGTACATAGGGTAAAATGCAGTTTTTGGCTCATATCTCTGAAACCAAAGCATTTAGAGCAAATCTGACATGGGGTAAAATTGTTTATCAGGTCAAGATCTATCTGCCCTGAAATTTTCAGATCAAGTTCGAATTTGGGTTGCATCACTTTTACCGTTCTTGAGTTATTTCCCTTTATAACCTTATATGCAAGCAGGGGCATCATCTGTGTCCATGGACACATTCTCCATTTATTTTTCTTTTGAAATAATGTTAAATAATTGTAAGGAAAACAGCCTTTTGACTGAAGTGAATAATGGTGAAAAATAATTAAAAAAATTTCATCGGCAAAAACAATTAATGTTAGTGAATTATAAATGAGAATTTAAGGTACTAAGATTTAATTTGATTTAGCCTCATTGCTGAAGTTTTATCATAGTATTTATTTGTACTGTATTGGTTTTGTTGGTTTTGGGCAATTTTGCTTTTTAGGTAATTAATTTTCAATAAGAAGTTTATGTAGCTTCGCTTGAAATATTTATCATTGGATAGATAAGTGTAGTCAGAAACTGATTTTAAAGATCTAAACTATAAATGTTATAACTTACATATATCCTGTTTAATTTCCAGGAATCAACAATGAAAGACTTGAAGGCAGCTATTTGAATGACATTCTTGAAAACATCATTTATAAAGGAAGGTAGAATTGTTTTGAAGATATCTAATTTCAATAACTCATTTAATGTTGGGATTTGATTGTGGTAAATGATCCAGAAAATACACACTTGTTCTTGTTAAATGAATTATGTTATTGACATTGGTTAACAACAGAATTGTTGGATTCTATTAGCATTGTACATTCATTTGGTAGGTATAATGCAAGCAATTATACAACTAGATTTTTATTTTATATTCAGTGTTGCAGTAGAATGCTAGGTATTGATATAGTAATAGTGTAAAATATTTTCAAAAGAAGTATGGCCACGAAGGCTTTAAATTAACCCTAAGAACCTAATCTTTGTAATACCACATGTAGCTTCAAGAGTATCAAATTTCACTAGTTTTTAACCAAATTGCATGTTTTTATGCATTTGTAAGGTTTATTTCCATCTGAAAAACATTGGCCACACCCTTTGATCAAAATGAAGTTGTTTTAAAAAGATGTTTATTTGTCAGATACACATCCTGACAAAAAATATGATGGTCCTTGCATGTGGCTAATGTTGTTTGAAGCAAAAGCTATTAAAATTTAGGCAAAAAATTAGTCAAAGTTATGATTTTCTTCATTAGAGTGCACAATAATGACGTCATAAATACAATACTATCTGTCTTTTGTCACATTGTGTATATATGATGTATTGCCATAGCATGTCATGTATGCTCTTGCAAATAAATGTTCATTTATTTATTATAATTGTTCTATTGTGTCAGAGCTTGTAGAATTTGTATTTGTCAAATAATTTTACTTATTTTGTCACCAAATTTTTATTTTTATTACTAAAGTTCAATTTCATAGAATTTCAGGGCCAATATGAACCCTTTATAAACCTACTCCTGTAGAAATTAAAGTACCATACTCATGTACAGTTTATAAAATATTTTATTCAAAATAAATGAAATCGATTGGGCATCAAAGCTGACATAATCCTCTTCTTTGTTATCCCCTGCACCATGGTTGCGGGGACATATCAATACTGTCCATCTGTCCGTCTGGTCTTGTTATCGCTCTCACTAGGTACAATTCTTGTCATATTTTTACAAAACTTATATCAAAGGTTTATGTCAGCAATGTCTAGGACGAGGTCGAAAATCAGTGCCGACCATCTATTTTTTTCCCCCACATGACGTGTTGCAGGGGACATAGAAATACTGCGTGTCAGTCCATCCTTCCGGTCTTGTTTGCACTCTCCCATGTACAATTTTTGCAAGATTTTTATAAAACTTATATCATAGGTTTATATCAGCAATGTCTCGAACAAGTTCGAAAATCAGAGCTGAATTATTTTTAAAAGAATTATGCCCCTTGGAAATATTAATTATATGGAAAATTGCATTGTTAGTGCTCTTATGTGTATAATTTTTGCCAATTTTTTATCAAATTTATATCTAAGGTTTATATGAGCAATGGACAATTTTGAAAATCAGTGCCAATCAAATATTTTTAAAAGAGTTATGTCCCTTGGAAGTATTTATTATATTTGAAATTGCATTGTATTTGCTGTCAAGCCTTCATTTGTATAAGATATTTGTAAAAAGTTTTAAAGAATAAAAAAAAAAGTTTTTTTTTTTAGTTAGTACCCTTGGATAGATAAAATATGTGCAACACAGGGGACAATGGAACTCTGTTCTTTTATTAAAAGAGTTATGCTCCTTGAAAATTTCATTTTTTGTTAGGGCTCTCATGTGTACAATTCTTGCCAGATTTTTTTAAAACTTTCATCATAGGTTTATATCAGCAATGTCTCTGACAAGTTCGAAAATCAGTGCCGATCAATTATTTTTTAAAGAGTTTTATTCCCCTTGGAAATATTGATTATATGGAAAATTGTATTGTAAGTACACTCACGTGTACATATTTTGCCAGATTTTTATCAAGTTTATGTCAAAAGAATATATAAGCAATGTCTCGGACAAGTTCGAAAATCAGTGCAGATAGATTATTTTTAAAAGAGTTATGCCCCTTGGAAATATTAGTTATATTGGAAATTGCATTGTATTTGCTCTCAAGCCTTCATATCTCTCCGATATTTATATAAAGTTTTAAAGAACAAAAAATAGATTTTTTTTTTAGTTATTGCCCTTGGATAGATAAAATGTGTGCAACACGGGGGACATTGGAACTCTGTTCTTTAGTATGTTTTAACATTATAGTTTTGCAATTGTGACAATCAGCATTTTTAAAACATGCTAATTATCTGAAAAGAAATGATTATGTCCATACCCTAACCAATAGTTAATATACATCTAGTCTTTTTGTCTTTTGGTCTTTGATGGAAATTGATGATCTTAGAATGTTGCACAGATTACACATTCACTGCTATTCTTTTCAATACTGTAATCAAAGTCTTGTCTTTCTAGTTTTTGTTGATTTGTTTCATGTATATTTTAAATCAATAGCTCAAGACTCATTTGTAATAAACTTGCAGAACAGGATTTCACCTACATTTTCATTTTGTTTCACCATTTTTAACCAGATTTTCGAAGTAAATATCGGTTATTGATTTGGTGTTGTATGGCAGGCAAGGGGGCGGGTGCCAAACTGTCCATTCAATAACATGAAAACGCTTTAATGAAATTTTTTCAAATTTAGGTATGTTGTTTCCTGTGACTAAATGAAGGTCAAGTTCAATTTTCACATTTTTGGTTTCTCCTTGTTGAGTTATCGCCCTTTTTAATATCCAAAAGTGGTATTTATAATGTGATTGAGTTATTTCTCTTTGTACAGAAATGTTTAATTATATATGTAAAGTTTGATTATAACACTAAGTTTTTAAATAATTTTCTCCTGTTATCAGATTATGACAAAGCATATGGTAAATGTCTTATCTCACAATAATAATTGGAGTGACAGATTTATTTGAAAATTCTCTGTTTCCTAAGTCCTGATGATTATAAGCTATATAGGACTGTATAAATAGAGTAAGAAATTTAGTGGTCATTTTTAGACATTTTGTAGATAATTAAGTCTCACTAAACCATATATATTCTTACCCCCCATCCCCCTTCAATTTGAGAATGTGCTTTTATCTTGTAAACAGTCGAGATCCCCACCCCTAAACCATATATATTCTTGTATGGGACAATAAAACAAATCAAATGAAATATTGGGGGAGTCCCAGGGTTCACCGCGACCCCCTTCTTTTTGAAATCTTGCAAACAGTCAAGATCCCCACCCTGAACCCATATATATTCTTGTATGGGACAATAAAACAAATCAAATGAAATATAGGGGAAGTCCACGGGGGTAACCCCCACCCCCCTTCTTTTTGAAAACTTGTAAACGGTCGAGATCCCCGCCCCGAAACCATATATATTCTTGTATGGGACAATAAAACAAATCAAATGAAATATAGGGGAAGTCCCCTGGGGTAACCCCCACCCCCCCACCCCTTCTTTTTGAAAACTTGTAAACGGTCAAGATCCCCACCCCTAAACAATATATATTCTTGTATGGGACAATAAAACATATCAAATGAAATAAAAAGTGAGTCCCCTGGGGGTTTATAGATTTTGAAAAGACATTGTATTAATAATAAATAAAATTTTGGTTTTTTTTCTTCTTTTCTTTGGTAAATTGTTTGAAGAATTTTGTGGCAAGTTTGTTTGTTATTCTGTAAAAACTAATTTTCTGAATGCTATATATTTTTTTTTGTTGAAGTGAACTCCATTAAAAACTAAGCTTATATTGTCTATTAATAAACATATATTTAGATTTCTGATTTTGGGCCCAGTTTTCAAGTTGGTCCAAATGGGGGTACAAAATTAAACTGTATTTGATTTCAACATAAATTGAATATATATAGGGTTCTTTGAAATGCTTAATCTAAACCTGTATTTATTTGCATTATTAATAAGATAATACCACATTGAGGACCAAAGGGTCCTAAATTAAACTTTTGTTTAATTTCATCAAAAATTGAATTCTTTGGTTCTTTGATATGCTGATTCTAACAATGTTTGAGTGTTAAATCATATTTAATTTTAGAGAACTTAGTCATCACTGGTTGTTGTTATTATATTATTGATTATAATTTGAAAAATTGCATCATATCTTATTTTAGAGAACTATTCATCCAGTTTGAGTTATTTCCCTTTGCACAGAAAATATTATGGATAGAATTAAACTGTGTTTCATTTCAAAATAAATTAAATATATATAGGGTTATTTCAAATGCTGAATCTAAACCTGTATTTAAATATTAGATTTTTGGGCCCAGTTTTCAAGTTGGTCCAAATCAAACTTTGTTTAATTCAACAAAAATTGAATTTATAGGGTTCTTTGAAATGCTGAATCTAACCATGTATTGAGAGATTTTGGATTGTGGGCTCCTTTATCAAATTGGTCCACATTGAGGTCCAGAGGGTCCTAAATTAAACTTTTGTCTGATTTCATCTAAAATTGAATTCTTGGGGTTCTTTGATATGCTGTACTTAGATTTTGGATATTGGACCATAATAGGTAAATGTCCAATTTCAAATATTTCAGTTCTTTGACCACATTCATTTTGTGTCAAACCTATGCTGTGTCAAATATTCAATCACAATCAAAATTCAGAGCTGTTTTAAGCTTAAATGTAGTGTCCATACTTAACTGTTCCGGGTTCGACCTCTGCAGGAAAATCCGGTTTGCTGTCACTCTGACAGCCTCTTGTCATTTATGAAAGCCTGATGGACTTTATAACCTTTTACATGTAAAGTTAAAAAAAAACTTTTTTTTACAACTGCAAAATTTTTGTGCTAGTGTAATGGTATGATGTTGCATTGGTGTCATCATCGTTGTCATCCGAAGACATTTGAGTGTATGGATTTTTATGAAATTTTACCACAAGGTTCCATACCACAAAAGGAAGATTGGGATTGATTTTGGAGGTTATTGTTTTAACTGTTTTGGAATAAGGGGCCCAAAACAAGCATTTTTCTTGTTTCAGGTCAACAACTTGTGTATAAGTGTATGGATCTCTATGAAATTGTACCACAAGGTTCCATACCTCAAAAGGAAGGTTGAGATTGATTTTGGGGGTTATGGCCAAAACTGTTTAGGAATAAGGTGACCAAAAATACAAGGATTTTATAGTTTCCAGACAATCATTTGAGTACAAGGCTATGCATCTCTATGAAATTGTACCACAAAGTTCCGAAAAAAGGGAGGTTTGGATTTGTTTTTGGGGGTTATGGTCAAAATGGTTTAGGAAAAAGGGACTAAAAACAATATTTTTCTAATACTTTGTATAAATTGCTTATTTCGTGCACAATTTCAATGGGGTTTAATTTAAAGTTTAATTCATGGGGTTCTTTAAGAAGGTGAATCTAACCATTTATTAGGATTATTTTAAATTGGTCCATATTGAGGTCCAAACGGTCCAAAATTGAACTTGGTTTGATTTCATCAAAACTGATTGGGTTCTTTGATATGCTGAACCTAAGCGTGTATTTAGTTTTTGATTTTGGGCCCGGTTTTTCAATGGGTTCACAATAAGGTCCAAAAGTTCCAAAATTAAACGGAGTTTGATTTTAACAAAAATTGAATTGAAGGGGTTCTTTGAAATGCTGAATCTTAACATGTATTTAGATTTTTGATTTTGGGCCCAGTTTTCAAGTTAGTCCAAATATGGGTCCAAAATTAAACTTTGATTGATTTCAACAAAATGTGATACATGTAGGTTCTTTGATATGCTGAACCTAACTGTTTATTTAGATTTTTGATTTTGGGTCCATTTTTCTAATGGGTTCACATTAAGGTCCAAAGGGTCCAAAATTAAAATTAGTTTGATTTTAGCAAAAATTGAATTCAAGAGTTCTCTGATATGCTGAATCTTATCATGTATTTAGATTTTTTATTATTGGGCACAGTTTTCAAGTTGGTCCAAATGGGGGTCCAAAATGAAACTTTGTTTGATTTCAACAAAAATTGAATAAATGGGGTTCTTTGATATGCTGAATCTAACTGTGTATTTAGATTTTGGATGTTGGGCCCTGTTATCAAATTTGTCCACATTGCGATCCAAAGCCACATTCATTCTGTGTCAGAAACCTATGCTGTGTCAAATATTTAATCACAATCCAAATTCAGAGCTGTATCAAGCATGAATGTTGTGTCCATACTTGTCCCAACTGTTCAGGGCTCTACCTCTGCGCTCGGCGGAGCATTTTATTATTAAATGAAATGTTAGACATCCTGACATGTGCAAAAATATTCTATAAATGAACAATTTATTTATTTGTGAGTGTTCTCAGTTTTGATAAGCATACAGTCAATGACAGTTAAAGGTTATTTGTATATGCTACATTTGTATAGCAAAATGATATACAGGTAATGTGGAACAATCAAGTTACATTTGTTGGAACAAGAAATACCATAAACAAAATATACAATGGTGCAATTGATAAAGTTTTGAAACAGTTTTTGGGGAAATGTATTCCAGCTGATGGATAGTTATCCCATTTGTAATCATACCACATCTCTGTATTATTATATTACAGGAAATTTTGTTTTTCTTGCAGAAGACAATAATACTCTCCAAATGTAAATTGATTGACAGGTGAAAATTACAAGGTTTATTCTTTTTTATACATCAGTAAGTTAGTGAACTAACAATCTGCCTTTTTTTGTAATTCCTAATAAGTTTTGTGAAACAAAAGCTGCCTTTATAATTAAAGTGAGGGTACCTGTATTAAAAGTATGCATATTTTTATGAATAATACAGGTATATAGTGGAATACTCATTTCTATCTGTTAATTGTTTTATATTGTTAAGTTCTTGGAGATATTTTTTGCTTGACCATATTTTTGTGGGAAAGCGGTAAATGCATAAATGTAAGTGTTTAGGTCAGAATAGTATAGGTATCTTTCTCCATTTAAAGTCTTGTGAAAAAACGTAATAGTTTGAGTATTATTTGTTACAGAAAATTTCAATCTCATAACAAAACAATATTAAACTTGTACAGTTGTTTTCAAGCATTTAAATAAAGAGCAATGTTGTTGATCAGTTATAATAGAACATATTTAAAGATATACAGATATATATATATCATTTTTATTGCTTTTAAATCTTTTTTTATATCATAGATGTAAATTTTAAAAACTATAATGATTTGAATTTGTTGATATACATCATTGATTTAGGTGTGATTGCATATTTTATTGTTATATTATAAATGTTGCTAATTCATTATTTTTTAGAATAATTTATATGTATATTTTTAAAAAAACTTTTTTTTTTCCGTCATATACATTAAGCATGTTAGTAAGTATATATTTTATGTTTTTGATATTAAAGATTAAGGTTGCTTATATAAATCTAGAAATATGTTTACTATGTTTTATTCTTTGTTTCAAAATGGGATAAAAGTTTATATTCAGGTATAAACATGATAGATCTCTGAATAGATACCGGCAGGCTTTCTTCATCTATAAACTTTCTTATGGATACATGGTAGTTACTCATTTTAATTACAGTGAAATGAATTGTCACATGTTTTGTCTTGTCTGCAACAGATGGTACAAAACAAGGCATTGTGAGAAGTTCCCATCATCCATTTTTGAATAAGTTCTGATGATGCATCATTGGTATTCAGCAAACGGTTTCAGTCAGCATGCATGCAGTTTATGAGGCCTTGCCCTTCAGTCATGGTACAAAGACTTTCATATTAAATTTCATGATTTGGTTTACATGATGAAATGTTTTATATGACAGGCCATTGATATTTTGTATACTGTTGCTGTAGAGCATCCAGGCAGTATTTAAGCAAGGATTTGAGTACTTTGTAGTAAAAAAGAATTCAATCTCGTAGTATATCAAGTATTGTAAAAAGTGTATTTATGTCAAATTCGCAGGTCCCGTCCTCTTAGAATTTTTTTTAAGCCAAATATCATACAATTTACAAGTCAACCCAATTTTCTTTGGCACACCACATAAACTTTATTTTTATGAAATGAATATGTTTCAATGAAGAAAATCCCACAGATCAATTAGCAATCCAAACTATGAATGAGATATGTATGACAGAAAATCTCCCAAGATCTTTGCATACTCAATATATATCCATACAGTCATTGCTAACTGTCCAGGAGCTTTCTGTCCTATATACTACCAAATTCCTTGATTTTAGTTTCAAGGCGACTTTGAGATTGTCCATTTGTCTTGCGTCAGTAACCCCTATAAGGATTGTGCCATTGTTTAAATGTTTATATTAAATTGACAGACTTAAAAATTAACTCATCAAACATACCAGGCTTATAATTGAAGCTAGTTTTATGCTATCATAGTAGATTTTGGGGTAATTTTCTTTGGTTATAAAAAAAAAAAGATAGTTCTAAATGAATGTGTATAAGTGTTACATTAGTTGAAGTAGTTTCCTGTATACTTCTTTTTGACTGATAAGATAATGGGTTGATTTAAAATACATATATAAGTAAGCAATGAATGTGGTTGTTAGGTTTGATAGATGCTTTTTGTGCTTCTTTGTTAAATGTTTGTTTGTTTTGAGATTGTGACACAGTGATGACTGCTGTACCCATATTTTGACAATGTTACCTATTATGTCTGTTTTGTTCACGCATCGTTGTAAATGTAATGGAATTTGATGCGACTGTCATACAATTGAGAGGTTTAACGCTATAAAACCAGGTTCAATCCACCATTTTCTACATTTGAAAATGCCTGTACCAAGTCAGGAATATGACAGTTGTTGTCCATTCTTTTGATGTGTTTTATCATTTGATTTTGCCATTTGATTAGAGACTTTCCTTTTGAATTTTCCTCGGAGTTCAGTATTTTTGTGATTTTACTTTTTGATAAAGGCAAATAATTAATTCGACAGTACTTAAGACTTTTATGAAATTTGTATGCATTTTTAACTGGTTGAAGTGCATCTAAATATAAAACAAATTGATGACTTTAAGCAATACAATTAGTTAAAAAGATATATTGATTGATTGCTTAATGATTGCTTTTATGCTGCATCAGCATTAAAAAGTTATAGAATAGATCTATAAATGTATAGAATGAAAGAGAGAAGTGATGAAAATGCAAATTGAGATTTCTAGTAATTACCTCCAATGAATTCTGTTTAAAATATAATTATTTCTGTGAACACTTCTGTCTTATAATGATTAGAAAATGTTGGTGAGTCATTGGATTTGTGTTTTTTTATACTAAAATTCAATTAGTCGTGATAAGTAGAGTTAAAAAAAGCTTAAAGATAACGAAATGTGCTAACATTTTAAGACTGCAAAATCTTAACTTTTCATGTTCTTTAACATCACTCAACTTAAAAGATATAGACAGCAAAATGAAATCTGATGACCCCTATAATTGTCATAAAAACTGTTCACAGTAATAACATATAAAAAAAAAGATGTGGTATGATTGCCAATTAGAGACCAAATAATGAAGCTGTTAACAACTATAGGTCACCGTACGGCCTCCAACAATGAGCAAAACCTATACCGCATAGTAAGCTATAAAAGCCCCTGAAATGACAAATATAAAACAATTCAAACGAGAAAACTAAGCCTTATTTATGTATAAAACAATCATTGAAACGAAAATCAAATATGATATACATCAAGGATTTTTAGCTCACCATTCCGAAGGAACTGTGAGCTTTTGCCATCACTTGGCGTCTGTCGTCGTTCGTCTGGTGTAAACTATTTCAAACATCTTCTCTAAAACTATTAAACCAATTCCAACCAAACTTAAGCTGAATGATGCTTAGGGTATCTAGAATAAAATTTGTATTTAATTTACTGTTTCATCAAATAACATGGCCGCCATGGCTAAAAATAGAAC